TATCACTATAACTTTTCCTTAGATTTGTTAAGATGGATTATGACATATGGATGTTTTTATTATGATGTGATATTAAAGTTGAAAATCATTCTCTGCCTCAAATGAATATCGCATAAGCCTTTGATTACCTGTGACCAAGCTTAAAAGATGTATGTGGAGTTGGTGTACAGGTTAAGTAAATCATATCCATGGCTTCTAATCAGAGATTTTAATTGTGTAGGTTAGAAAATGGTATTTAATTAAGACAAGACAATGTCCCTAAACACAGTTAATTTGATAAGACAAAATAAAATTTTTTTTTATGTATAGGGGTAGTCTTTACACAGAGGTTTCTTTATACAGAGGTGAAGACAATATCAGATGTCTGGTACATGCTAAAGCAGCTGACCTTTACCAATGTTTGTTTATGTATACCAACAAGATATATACAAACTGTTTGTTCTGGCTGCTTGCTGCTTATGCATGCAAGTCTATGAGCCTGTTGCAGGGCCGATTCCTTGAGCTGTTTGATTGTCTCAACTTTTACACTATATGTTCACATGCTACTGTATTGGTGATATCAGTGAGAAGTGTGATACAGTATAGATTGGGGGAAGGCACCTCATGGTTTCCACAGCTGTCGACTGGCTGCCCAATGTTACGGTAATGGTTGTTGTAATGTGTCTCCACACACATTATGTTGTTGTTGCTATAATGATGTCATGGTGTTTTTTTCTTGTTGCTGTCTTGTTTTCTGCTGGATATGCATGAATAATTGCTCATTATTTACATGTTACATGGCACTGGGCTGAACATGTGTGTGTTATAAGGAAGAGACTTAGCCGGCTCAGAACAATGTAGGTCACGATTACTGTGACCTTGTCTGGAGGTTGAATTGACCTTATTTTCATATTTTTGTCTCTATGTTGACCTAATATGAAGTTAATACCCCATTTATAGGTCAATGTGACCTTGTTTTATGTTGTTACCAGTGGTTGCTATAACCATCATCTCTACCTGCCAGTTAAATTTAAGAAAATATTACTTTCTTGTGTTGAAGAACCTGTAATGGTCTCATGTAATTTGAATAACCAGACTTCTACAAAATACATGAGTCTTAGATATTGTATCTATTTATCATTTGGTGATCTTCATTCTAAGGAATTTTCTCATATTAATTACTTTAAGCAACTTATTGCCCTGCATTTTCCTCACTTGGTGCCCTATAGGAACCACAATGTCGGTATATGTTATGCCATTTGTCCATCCGTGTGTTTGTCGATCAGTTCTTTTATTTTGGGGTTATTCACAGTATGAAGTGTACAAAATTTCAGAAATTTCACATGATGATATAGTGTGATTTGGGGATATGCAATAGGGGTTTAAAAGTGCCTAACATAAAGGTTGCTATAACTAAAATAGAACTTTTGGAAACTTTTAAGATACTGTGAAAAAATAAATGATGTATAAATATGGTATAAGTTAATTTTCTTTTATGGTATTATGAAGCAACTTTGACTGAAATCAAATGAGAAAGTGGCTGACAGCTGATTAGGGTCATGCTATCAATGGTCAAGGTCAAATTCTGAAATATTTCACTGGCAAATATAATGTTATAACATTGCCAGAAGTCACTTGGCTACAGGTCAAGGTCACCAGGCCAGAGATAAAAGTAAAATTTTTTAAAGACATTATCAAGCAAAGTTGACCAAAATTATATGAGGAAGTGCATAATCAAAGGTGAAGGTCAAAAGATTTAAAGTCAAGGTCACAATTTCTATCTTATAATTGGTAAAATGTTCATCCAAAATCATTGTCTCTGGGTCAGAGTTCAATATATATCATAGCCATTTTTACTGGTAAATACTTTGTTATGATATTATGGACCAGAAAAATAAAACAGTAAGTGCATTATCAGTCAGATTCATTATCCAAACAATTCATTTCTGAACTGATGAATAGTTCTGTCTAAAAATAATCACAGTTGCTTGGAAATAACTGAAAAATCACAATTCAGCAGAAGGATATAAAAGATATCAAAAATCACAAGGAAGTGATCATACATCACACAACACACAATTGTGTACTTCATTGTTCTCCTAGTTTTAATGTCATAAAAATGTATTTATGATTTTACAAAGTCTATATATATAAAATAATTAAAGTGTGTTTTGAAATTAGAGATTAAACTTGCAGGTTTTGGTGTGCTTTCTGATCTGTTATTACTCTAGTTCGACCTCTGTAATCTGACGATCATTGCTCGTTATCAATCAGCAACAATTCAGCAATTCATGTTTATAGCTCATAAAATGCGGAAATTACAGGAAATGATTTTGATGAGTCACAATAACTTCTACAATGAAAACATGAAGTGGTGGTTGTATTTATTTGGTTCCATTTCCTATTTGAAGTTAATTGTCATTAATATCCTGAAATTCAATATCTAAAATAAAGTCTCAAATATAATAAGCTGCTTTACCAGCATGTCGATTTTTTTTCTGTTTCTATAGTTAACCCATAAAAAGCCAATGTTTGTGAATGAGACTATAGAACAGGTAACAGGAGCTGCAGAATGTAATGGTTCTGAAGAATTAGAAATAGTTTTAGTTACTCTTGATTTGAATACATATTACAGAGGCAAAACAACAATTATCAAGTTGTGTGTAATCGTAAGATTTTAATCAACTTTGTATCATAATTTCATAACAAAATATTAATTAGTAAAATATTAAATATTTGACCTTTTTTCTGGTGACCTTCACCTATATTCAGGCAACTTCTTGAAATATTATAACAAACTCTGTCAGTGAACAAGTTTACACTCTGTCAATCAGTGTCACTTTCGCTGCAGTAAATAACTCATAAAGGTTCTCTGAATACAGAAGGAGAAGTAGGGTCAGTGTGCCACATGCCACCTTACTTGAATCAGTCCTTCAAACAGAAATAGAGATTGATTCAAATATGTGTTAGACCTCGCTGTTGGTGTAAGAGTTCGGCATGATGACATTGATGAACAGTAGTAATCCTTTTCAAAGTGTACTGTATTAGCCAATCAAAACATCTTTACAGTTTAGACCACATTTTGATTAAACTATATCATTTAAAAACATCTTTAATGATTAGTTGTTGCCTTGGAGTTTAATAATATCCACCTATTGTTGCATATATTAAATCACAATATTTTGAATAAACAGACACCAGAATTGACTTCTGAATATGAGTGCAGGCTACAGAGCTGGCAATGCCATGAGACTCTGGCTGTAGCCATATGCGACTATCAGGCCTGTATAAAGATCACTAAATCTCACAGCAAGCACTCGTTAATTAAAACATACATGTACCAGAAACAATATTGCACACAAATAAATGAAACACTGATTTCCATCCTTCATTGTTTTAAATAATTGACAAAAAGTTTCAGTCACCTATATGACCTCGAGGAGAAAACTCCACTCTCAATTAAGATGATAACTTTAAAGTTCAGAATGGAGAAGAGTCTTACTATAAAAACAGGCCTCATTTTGAAAAACACACCAAAGGGATATTTACCGTATAAAGATTATACATTTACTGAAGTTGATAAAAAATTGAAACAGCAGAAAATTGAATTCAGTGATGGATACTTGCATGTACTGAAAAAAAGCTTGGCTTATCATGAAATTGAAAAACAAGGAAGGAAGTTTGTGTATAAGGAAGAATAAAAGATGTGATAAAATGTATTAGTACGGCGTATATGCCACAGTTTAAAGATTTTTAGAGATATGTAAATTATCAGATAAAGTGGATGTCTTTATTTCCTGAGGATCTTTTGACATCCATGGTGTTTATTACTGACGTGTGAACAGGGGTAAGTTTCAGCATTGTCTTGTGACTGTACAAGTATTTATTCTGAAATACCGTACCAACTATATATGAAGTGGTCTATATATATGAATATACATTTTTATAAAACTTTTCCTGATTCTGTAGTTTCTCCTGAATTGTGCTGTTGAACATGTGTACATTGAAATAACTTGTTGACTTAAAATACTCTTTTGATGCATGTATGTACAACTGTAATATATGAGCTGTTAGATTTTAAGTGCATTTAATAATTTCAATACTATATCTAGCAAACATGACAGGTGCTTCCTTGGAGATATGAATGGTGCCTATTAATGGAAATAACTAAGGTCCAAAATGCTGTTTCCATTGTTACACTTACATATTTGTATATTTTGATATTTCTTTCAATAAAATAATCTGAAGCGGGTGTTATACGATATGTATACATTCAATGACTCATGCAAGGTATTATTGTCAGACAGGAACAGGATCTTGTCCTTTAAAGATTTACTGGCAACAAGATTTATTCTTACAAGCAATATCAAGTGTGTTGTGTTATTATGCATAATACTGTACATGTAATTTTCTTTTACAATGTTGATGACATTATCTAATCAGGTTTTCTCAATCAAAATCTACAGGAATAACATTCCTATTTTGCCTAGGAACATTATGTCAAAAATAGCAAAAACTAAACACTGATGTAAAAAGACCTGTTATATGCAAAGCTAGTTTTATTCTCATAAAACTCAAATTAAATGTGTATAAAACTGTGGGTACAATGTAATATAATGTAAGAGACAAAGAAGCTGACTACTTACAGTCATCCATTTTATTACTGTCAAGCATGGAGCCAGTAATTCATGGTTCAGTAAAGACAGGTGATTGTTAAACAAGGGTTTCGGTAAAGTCAGGTGTAAGTCAGTAAACTGTCGTGATCAAATCCAGATTAAGTCACATATTTATAAACTGGTGTCTCTAACACAAATGTCAGTAAAATGAGGTGTCAGTAAACGTCAGTAAAATGAGATGTCAGTATACTCAGTTTCAGTCAACACTGAGACAGCTTTTAAATTGTTGGATATGTAAGTGTCACTTAAAACAGTTTTTATTCTTCATGTGCTCAGGTATTCGTGAAATTGATTGTGTTTTTGTCTAATTGTAGGTGGACAAAGGGGGCCCGCCCTCGCCTGAGACAAATCCACACCAGGATGTCCGGAGCCTATTTCCACCGTGGCATCACCAGGCTAAGGGCTGAGGAGCTACTGCTTGGGGCAAAGGAGGATGGAAGCTTCCTTGTTCGGGATAGCGAAACCCTTACAGGAGCTTTTGTACTCTGTTTACTGTAAGTGTGCAATAAGGAATGAGATTAAACACTTGTACTTGATGTAAGTACTTACAGTTTTAAAAACACTCTAAGTATAAATAGGTCAACATATAAGATTTAAATTTAAAAATAAAAATATTGTAAGCCATTGGATAAATTCATAAATTCATTAATCTCTACACCATCACACAACACCTTAATCTCTATACCATCTTACAACACCTTAATTTCTTCACCATCACACAACACCTTAATCTCTACACCATCACACAACACCTTAATCTCTATACCATCTTACAACACCTTAATTTCTTCACCATCACACAACACCTTGATCTCTACACCATCACACAACACCTTAATCTATACACCATTACACAACACCTTAATCTCTACACCATCACACAACACCTTGATCTCTACACCATCACACAACACCTTAATCTATACACCATTACACAACACCTTAATCTTCACACCATCACACAACACCTTGATCTCTACACCATCACACAACACCTTGATCTCTTCACCATCACACAACACATTGATCTCTACACCATCACACAACACCTTGATCATCACATACACCATCTACACAACACACCTTGATCTTTACACCATTACACAACACCTTGATCTCTACACCATCACACAACACCTTGATCTCTACACCATCACACAACACCTTGATCTCTACACCATCACACAACACCTTGATCTCTACACCATCACACAACACATTGATCTTTACACCATTACACAACACCTTAATCTCTACACCATCACACAACACCTTGATCTCTACACCATCACACAACACCTTAATCTATACACCATTACACAACACCTTAATCTTCACACCATCACACAACACCTTGATCTCTACACCATCACACAACACCTTGATCTCTTCACCATCACACAACACATTGATCTCTACACCATCACACAACACCTTGATCTCTACATCATCACATAACACCTTGATCTCTACACAAACACTAAACACCTTGATCTCTTCACCATTACACAACACCTTGATCTCTACACCATCACATAACACCTTGATCTCTTCACCATCACACAACACCTTGATCTCTACACCATCACACAACACATTGATCTCTACACCATCACATAACACCTTGATCTCTACACCATCACGCAACACCTAAATCTCTACACCATTACACAACACCTTGATCTCTATACCATCACACAACACCTTAATCTCTACACCATCTTACAACACCTTAATTTCTTCACCATCACACAACACCTTGATCTCTACACCATCACACAACACCTTGATCTCTACACCATTACACAACACCTTAATCTCTACACCATCACACAACACTTGATCTCTACACCATTACACAACACCTTAATCTCCACACCATCACACAACACCTTAATCTCTACACCATCACACAACACATTGATCTCTACACCATTACACAACACCTTAATCTCTACACCATCACACAACACCTTGATCTCTACACCATCACACAACACCTTAATCTCTACACCATCACACAACACCTTAATCTATACACCATCACACAACACCTTGATCTCTACACCATCACACAACACCTTGATCTTTACACCATTACACAACACCTTAATCTCTACACCATCACACAACACCTTAATCTCTACATCATCACACAACACCTTGATCTCTACACCATCACACAACACCTTGATCTCTACACCATCACACAACACCTTGATCTCTACACCATCACACAACACCTTAATCTCTACACCATCACACAACACCTTGATGTTTCTACACCATCACACAACACCTTGATCTCTACACCATCACACAACACCTTAATCTCTACACCATCACACAACACCTTGATGTTTCTACACCATCACACAACCCCTTGATCTCTACACCATCACACAACACCTTGATCTCTTCACCATCACACAACACCTTGATCACTACACCATCACACATCACCTTAATCTCTACACCACACTGAATTTAGCTCACGTAAAGATTAAATCTGAAGAGGTTTTGAAACTTGATAAACTTTAAAGAAAATGTTACATTTTGACAGAATTCATTCTGGTACTTTTTAAATTTATTATTTTTTGTGTGGTAATGAAACCTGACACATTGAAGCACCAACTGGTAATGAAATACAGTAAAAACACCTCTGAAGTGTTTGACATCTTCATCAGTGAAATGTAGATATAAACAACAGGAAACAATACTGAGGAAAATGATTGTACAATTTCTGTATACACACTGATCCTGATGAAATAAAATATATTGACTGAGCTTTCAAAATTTTACATAAAATATATAATGCAACGAGTGTTATTTAACAAGTTAATTGATGGAAACTTACATAATTAATGATGCAAACATATTAGAGATAATGAATATTCTTAAAAAATGTTTAATTAAAATTAATTAAGTGTAGTTCTGTTCCTTGTTTAATTAAGATATTATTAACTGCAGTAGAATTTGAAATCATAATATGTGGAGAATGAGTACAGCCTGAATGCCTGAGGTTTTTTTTTTTAATTTAATTTAGAAAAAACGAAATAGGACAAGAACATAGGAAAAAGCATCTTTTGAAAACATGAAGATAGTAATAAAGTTAAGATTGTAACAAAATACCAGAGACTTTGTGGCTACAGTTCCATGTTTGCTGGGATAACGTTTGATGAAGTTTGAAGATTTTAATTACTTGGATCCACAAGTTTGTGTTGGAGGCTGATTGATCTCTGCAGGGAAGTGTATCAGTGGTGTTACCACATGGGGAGAAATAATAGTACAGAGAGGTGAATGGTTTTATATGTATTATGCATATGGTCTTGTTTGTTTTGACTGGCACTTCTAGCACTGACATTCAGTACCATTAGACATTTAGTAAGATGTCGGTGTCTTCAGCAACTGGAAGACCCATCTTGGTTTTGTTGACGGTGATGAGGGTTAGTGTTGACAGGCTAGAGAGTATTAATGGGTGTATGGTAGGCCAGGCGTGGCCTTTAGCTACTGTAAATACATCATTTGTAGTTTGCAAATTAACAATTACTGTGTTTATTTTTGTGGGAATCATTCACTGGTGTATTGCTTTAGGTTTACTGAAAATAGCTTAGTGGAGTTATGAACCTTGGTCAGTGAGTTGGCAGGTAAAATCATAGGATCTACCAATTAGGTCTAGCATTGACTTTGAGATTGGGTAGACTTTCTATTACAATGAAGACATACTTATTCTCTGATGTTCAGTTTCCATGGATAATACATTGTACGTGAAACACAGCAGCTCTTAGCCATTTTTCAGCTTTTATTAAAAGCTCCTCGATTGCAAAAAAATATTCTTGTGTGCCAAACCACTGAATACATTTTAGTTATGATTTTCCTGCATATCCTTCTACTGTTGTAATTTCACATCAAACATGTAGAATTGATATATTAATTCATTTGTGGGTTCTAACACCAGTCTGAATTGGGTGATATTAATGTTATTGACCCGTTTGATTTTCAAAAGAAAATAAAAGATATGACTATATATATTTTCTCTATTTACTCTAAATACTGCTTAACACTCTAAATAGAACAGAGTGGGTGTGTCAATTTTAAATTGATTATCAGCAACTGTGACAAAATATCTGTTTTGCTTGATATGTTGTAACATGGATAAGTATCAGTATTCTGATAACCTTTGTGATTACATCTAGGTTTTGTATACTAAATCAAGAATGTTTTATTTCCTGAAGGCTTACAAGAATTGATCTTTTCTCTGGTAAAAAGTATGTAATCAAAAAACAAAAAATATAGCTATGAAGCTTTATTTCAGTTACTTGGACCAGGAAGGAGTTAAAGTTGTGTCGGAAATATTGGGTGAAGAGATGTCACACATTGTACCATAGTGTAAATATTGTTACAGCACTCATCCATATCTTATGTTCAACAGATGTAGGATTAAGTGTTTATCCACAACAATGTTCCTGTGGCTTGAGAGTTTATGAATATGTATATATACAAACAGGCTGATGTTTATCTTTTATATAAACATTGATTAACAATTCACGTAATTGCATCCTTAAAACCAATGAAGCTGATAATCATTCATTGTATATAGGAAGTTGCAATTGATTAACAATTCACGTAAACTTGCATCCTTAAAACCAATTAAGCTGATAATCATTCATGTATTATACACATAAGTTAACATCATTTATGGATAATGGGTACATACACCCTTAAGTCCAAGTTTATCATTGTTCATGTATTACATACATAAGCTTACATTATTCTTGGATAATGGGTCATACACCCTTAAATCAATATTGATAATAATTCTTGTAAATTGATATACATAGATCATCATTTATATGCCCACATGTCTAAGTTGACCTATGAAGAATAATTATTACTTCATTGTCTTGTAATAAGACCAAACTTTTAAATCTGGTGATTATGAGTTGGATTGCTAATTAATGCCATATATCTACATCAGTGCTCTGATAAATGTACCTAGTATCTCACTCATTTCCTGTATTGATGATATCTTGCTTTCATTCTTTGTCAGAGATTTTCTAGCTGCAGATTGTCCCTGACTTTTGTGTATATATACCGAGGCCTAGTTAGCATCTTTTCCTGTATCAGAAAAGTGGTCTGTGCAAATTGGTTATGTTACATAAGGTTAAAACTTGCTTACTATGAACAAGTTAATCTCGAAATCAAAGGCATACATACTGTGCTTGAATTGGGTCATTAATTTTGGCAGTAGTTAAGTAATGAGTTTCCCACTGGTACAACAGGAGGGGACTGTTACTTCAGTCTGACAGTCACCAAGTCCAAGACATTTCTCACTAAAGTGATGTAGTCATGCAAAACATACCTAACAATATTAATTACATCTTATACCAGTTGATGTTTCACGGGTCGACCGGATATTGTCGTCATTATGACAAGTGACTTTATTAGATGATCGAGTGTCACGTCACATTAAAACCAGGTCACATATTCTGTTGTATACAGAGTTACATACAGTTAAATATTTTTATCTCCTATGTCTTGAATGTGATACATTGGAAATGGGTCCTATGCTGCTTTAAATACAGAGTTATGGCCCTTAGTTTTTGGCTTATAACTTTGACTGGAGGTGGAGAGGAGTTATGGATTTGTTTGCTCTATATTACTGTTAAAAATTATTTTCCTTGTTGTTTCAGAGGCAGATTTGTACACTCATAAATTTTTCCCTTTTAGTTTTAAATAAATAACAAATGTGCTTCTTATGTTCAGATGGCCCACATATACAAATGTATATTAGAAAAAGAATGAAATATGATAGCTTGGGTGAATGTTAGTACAAAACACTGTCAGGAAATAAACATGAATTTGTCAACTTTAATAAAATCTGGTATATTCATGGTTACCCTTGAAATTTAGATGTATTAATTATATTCATTTATTCTAAGTGATGTTTCTTATGTAGTCATTGTAGGATCGTCAGCGTAAATAAACAAAGTTTACGTGTATGTTAATGAAGTTTTCAGGAAATTTTAATGCAAGAAAATTGGAATAGAATTACCTTTACCGTATTCAACCAATTAAGCTCACTGTTCACTTACAAAACACAAAAGGGGTATAGTAATAATATTTACAGGATTAAGTTTCCTTGTGAAATATGTTGATGTAAACTTTAGAAGCAGAAAACACAATTTGAAAAATATTGATGTATTGAAGAAAGCAGCCTTTTCACTGGTTTTAATTAAGTAAATATATTCTTGGCTTACCAGAAAAAAAAGGGATCATGCTTATAGGAGCAGCTACAGTTATTTGGTCTTCTTTGGGAAATTAATGTAATGTAATGTTTTCCAAAGAGACATGAAAATTGTAATCTTGTTATAAAAAAATTCACCAGTCTACTGTTAAGATAGCGCTACTATGTAGGCTGGGCTTAGGGTGATGGAGTGCTGTGATGTGGTCAGCCTCACAAGCACCTGCTTCAGCTCAGAGTGGACCTATCTTTTTCTGTCAATGACTCACCAAGAAATTCTATCCCAGACCTTCTCTATCAGAACACCAGGCTTAGGGCCTTACAGATCTGACCTTTGATATGGCAGACCTACACATGTTTACATCATTAAGGCATCAAGTTCTATCTTTTTATTCATGGAATAAATGATTTATATAAAAGGAGCTAAAGATTAGATAAATATCAAAGTTAATAAAAGTGGGAGAAAGTCATAGAAAGACAAGTTACAGAGAGAAATGTAGAGAGGCCAGAAGAGAAGGAGGGACATAATTACTGGAGGGAGACAGCCCTTGTCAGTTAAAAGGGAATAATATTGGTGAAGAATTTTAACTTAGAAACAAGTGGACAAACACATCATCACCGCATAATGCCAAACAGCTGACCAGTAAAGGTCATTTCTCTCTGTGATTCACTACACACTGTCAACAGTGGTGGTTAGAGCATTTATACAGGGTGTTAATTCCCTCATTTCCATCAACAGTATTTAAACTTTTAACAAGCTTCTTCTATAGAATCATGATATTTGACAAGAACTCTTCATATGTGATCTCATTTATGATATTGAGGTGATTATGGGTAGGATTTGTTTGTAAATAAAGATAAGATTTATAGGTAAACAAATGCAGGATATATTTTTAATTATAGATATAATGATAATTACTGTATGATATAAAGATAATTACAAGTATTATATAGGGCTATCATGGACATAGTGTTAAGGTAATCACAGGTATGGTGTTTAGGTAATTACATGTGTGGTGTTAAGGTAATTACATGAGTGGTGTTCAGGTTATTACAGGTATGGTGTTTAGGTAATTACAAGCATGGTGTAAAGGTAATTACTTTTATGATGTTTAGGTAATTACATGTGCGGTGTTTAGGTAATTACATGTGTGGTGTTTAGGTAATTACAAGTACGGTGTATAGGTAAATACAAGGATGGTGTTTAGGTAATTACAGGTATGGTGTATAGGTAAATACAAGCATGGTGTTTAGGTAATTTCAGGTATGGTGTATAGGTAAATACAAGCATGGTGTTTAGGTAATTACATGTGTGGTGTTTAGGTAATTACAGGTATGGTGTATAGGTAAATACAAGCATGGTGTTTAGGTAATTACATGTGTGATGTTTAGGTAATTACAGGTACGGTGTATAGGTAAATGCAAGCATGGTGTTTAGGTAATTACATGTGTGGTGTTTAGGTAATTACAGGTATGGTGTATAGGTAAATACAAGCATGGTGTTTAGGTAATTACATGTGTGGTGTTTAGGTAATTACAGGTATGGTGTATAGGTAAATACAAGCATGGTGTTTGGGTTATTATACATGTGGTGTTAAGTTAATTACACATATGTTATTTAGTTAGTTACAGATAGCATGCTTCAAGCCAATACAGGTATGGTGTTTAGGTACTTACAGGTATGGTGTTCAGGTAATTACAGGTATGGTGTTTAGCAACTTACAGGTATGGTGTCACGGTAATTACAGGTATGGTGTTTAGCAACTTACAGGTATGGTGTCACAGTAATTACAGGTATGGTGTTTAGCAACTTACAGGTATGGTGTCACGGTAATTACAGGTATGGTGTTTAGCAACTTACAGGTATGGTGTCACGGTAATTACAGGTATGGTGTTTAGCAACTTACAGGTATGGTGTCACAGTAATTACAGGTATGGTGTTTAGCAACTTACAGGTATGGTGTCACGGTAATTACAGGTATGGTGTTTAGCAACTTACAGGTATGTTGTCAAGGTAATTACAGGTATGGTGTCACGGTAATTACAGGTATTGTGTCAAGGTAATTACAGGTATGGTGTTTAGCAACTTACAGGTATGGTGTCACGGTAATTACAGGTATGGTGTTTAGCAACTTACAGGTATTGTGTCAAGGTAATTACAGGTATGATGTTTAGCAACTTACAGGTATTGTGTCAAGGTAATTACAGGTATGGTGTTTAGCAACTTACAGGTATGATTCACCGTATCATAGATACTAAGTTTTTGCCTATGTTTGATGACAGGTACCAGTCTAGGGTACACCAGTACAGAGTGTTACCTGGAGCCGATGGAAAGCTCTCAGTCCAAGTAAGTATATATCTACCTGTTTACATATCTACAAAATCTTCCTGATCTTGATTGAAGGTACCAAATTTAGCCTTATTAATAACACATTTTTAAAGTTAGAAACAAAAATGTTTGTACTGAAGAAACACTTTCAAACAGATCAAATAAAAAGTTAATAAAATATTTTCTCTCCAGGCTGAAGGTGGTAATGTTGAACCTAAATACAACAATTTAAATGAGCTAATCGCTGATTACATCAAAAAGGGAGAGAAAAATGGTCTCATCTTCGCCATGAAAGTCCCAGTATCTCCAGAGAGAGGTGATGACCAGGATACAGGTAAATAAGACCAACTCTCAAAGAAATAAGTTTTATTAGGTCACATGAGACAAAGTCTCAGGGTAACCCATTGCAATTCCCTTTTGTCTGACGGCGTACATTGTAAACCTGAAACATTTTCAATTTCAATAAAATTTTGCAAAAGCCTTCCATGGCTAAAGACACATTAAAATTGTAAATGATATGGTCTCTAACTCCCAGGTGCCTGAGCGGCAGGGCCAAAAAGGGTTTAATTTATTGAAACTTGTGTGGTAGAATCAAGAACTCTTCATGAATGGAAAGGTCTTCAGATGCTTTACTAAAATTGTTGTTGTTTTAATAACATCATTTCTATGACAAGCATTGTGTCTCAGGTGCCCATGGGCCTCTTGTTTTTCAGTTAAACCAAATTACTCTACCACTATGTACCATGCTAACAAGATTCCTCTAGCTCTCCTCTAGTTTTGTAATGTCAAGAAACCAAGCTAAGCTTGAAAATTTCGTAACAATATCAAATTAGAAACTTTAAGCTCCAGTATCTAAAAAGATACTTTGATTTTATAGAGAAAATATCTCTCTGATATGTCTACTAGGCACAATACAACGACAAAGGGGTAAATTTTGTAGGGATTGTATGGTATTTTAACATTAACAGTTTCATAAATTAAATAGACAATCAAGACAGAACAGGATATTGCAGTGATTTTCGAGTTGGCTGATTTTAAATTGATCCAATTTGAATAAAATTACTGATGGTTTCTGTGATGTGTGTTCACAAGATACTTAAAAGATTCTTAAAAGTATTTTGAATTTACAGCATCTGATTACTAAAGAGGTAATTTCATCACATGTTGATTAACCTTTATAGTGATCTTATTTATTTTTTTTTTAATTTTTGGAGCTGTGCCTGAGAAATATTGTCATCACTGTATCGTTCTTTCTTTCTTTCTTTCTTTTTTCATTCTTTCTTTCTTTCTTTCTTTCTTTCTTTCTTTCTTTCTTTTTTCATTCTTTCTTTCTTTCTTTCTTTCATTCTTTCTTTCATTCTTTCTTTCTTTCTTTTGTTCTTTTTTCATTCTTTCTTTCTTTCTTTCTTTCTTTCTTTCTTTCTTTCTTTCTTTCTTTCTTTCTTTTGTTCTTTTTTCTTTCTTTCTTTCAATCTTTCTTTCTTTCTTTCTTGCCATTATTTCAACTTTGTGTACATTAGGACTACCTAATATATGATGGCTTAGTGATGTCCTCATTTATTAAAAATCTCAGAACATCTGAAGACAGAGCAATTACATTTCACATTTAGGCATATTGTTCATAAATATGATTTCATTAAACTAAGAAGTTGATGTTGCATTTCTTCTACCTCTTAGTACAGGTGTAGGATTTTATCATTATGAATTTGTATTTGATATCACCATTGTTTACACTGTAGATGAGGAAGACTTCGAGGATATTTGCCAGTTGCAGCAGCAGCAACAACATCAAGTGAAACTGCCATCATATGTAAATATTTCTCTGGCAGGAGACACCAATTCAGTTAAGGTCAACGGACCAACACATCGTTTACAGATGGAGCTGCTGAAAAACTTCTCCCGTCTCAACCTCACAGAGTATGTAATATTGTACAGCATCCTTCCCTCACAGATTATGTAATATTGTACAGCATCCTTCCCTCACAGATTATGTAATATTGTACAGCATCCTTCCCTCACAGATTATGTAATATTGTACAGCATCCTTCCCTCACAGATTATGTAATATTGTACGGCATAATTTCCTCACAGCATGTGTAATATTGTATAGCTTTCTACTCACAATAACAATTTTGAAAATACTTAAGAAATTAATTGATATCTTTATTAGAGATGGTATGAATGCAGTTACCTTTTATTAAAAGTGTCCGTCCATCAGTGCTTTACTTCGTAAAGAATGTCTCAGAAACTGTTGGGCAGATGTAGATACTACTTTTCCTAAATAATAGTCATTATACCTATATATGCCAACACAATTCTTATCTGAAAATTGCTAATTGCTATTTTTACTGGTCAGTGTATTGCTCTTGATTCCTTCCATTAAATATCATTTGGTCACTTAAGTGGAGCTCTGTAACCATTTCTGTTCTGTCTCCAGCCCGTATCTTGCATTGTCCATTAACATTTGTCTTCTTGTAATGAAAACTAGGAGTGCTTTAATTCACCATGTAAAGCTACCACGACATTTTGTTTGTATTTATAGCTGTGATACAGAGTTCAATGATGTACTGAAGTCATACATCGACAAAGGCCTTGATACTGATGTCACTGCAAGCCAGGCAGGGGAGACAATCCTACCTGAATATCAGAGCATTATAGAGGGCGCTGCTAGAGGTTTGAAGAGGTAGAACTATATTGTCAGATCTAGCTTTCTAGGATTTGAGCATCTCAATCAATTACTATTTGTTATTACATAATTAACATTTAATTTGATAATGTTAATGTGTGAAGATCAACACAAATAACAACAGTTTAGAAACATAAAACATAAACTGCCTGAACGACCCACTGTATAAAACAATCCCTGATTTAGTGATCTGATAAAGGCTTGTAATCACCCTCAGAAGTTAAAAGCAAAAAGTTTACAAGTGAAACAAGGAAAATACCCAGACAATTTACACCTTTCTAAATCTGCCATCAGATACTGCAATATGTTTAATTCAATATCTTAACACTAAATACATTCTTTCACAAGAAAATCTGTCACTGTCAATTATAAATTTAATACTCATGAGAGCACATTGTTTTGAAAAATGTAAATTTAAATAGGACATATCTTCATATGACTGACTCTCTCAACTAATTCAATAACTGTATGTTATTACTTAGCAATTAAACTAAAAGCATTAATATTTGAAGTTTAACACAAGTAATAACTGTGTAGATTGATAGAAACAGACCTGTTAAAGGCTACAAATGGCATGATTTAGTAAGTTGAATGGTATCTTGGACTGTCAGTGCCTTCAGAAGTCAACTACCGGAAGTGTACAAGTGAAACTTTCTACCCACTATGGGAAAAACCCTGACATTTTACACCTATCTGAATCCACCAGGGACATCCAAATGTGTTAAAAACTACAGGTTTATGAAGCCAAATCAATGCCAATTTCTTTTAGATGTTACAAATTTTAAATTTAAACCCCAAGAGGACACAATCTTTTACCAAATCTCAATTCAGGAAGGGAATCTGTTATAATAGAATGAAACAGAATTCCAGTTACTTGATGGCTGGTTTAGATGTGTGAGTCCTGAAGCAGTCACTCATTGGCTGATTTAGTTATGTGAGTCCTGAAGCAGTCACTCGTTGGCTGGTTTAGTTGTGTGAGTCCTGAAGCAGTCACTCATTAGCTGGTTTAGTTGTGTGAGTCCTGAAGCAGTCACTCGTTGGCTGGTTTAGTTGTGTGAGTCCTGAAGCAGTCACTCGTTGGCTGGTTTAGTTGTGTGACTCCTGAAGCAGTCACTCCTTGGCTAATTTAGTTGTGTGAGTCCTGAAGCAGTCACTCGTTGGCTGATTTAGTTACGGGAGTCCTGAAGCAGTCACTCGTTGGCTGATTTAGTTGTGTGAGTCCTGAAGCAGTCACTCGTTGGCTGGTTTAGTTGTGTGAGTCCTGAAGCAGTCACTTGTTAGCTGGTTTAGTTGTGTGAGTCCTGAAGCAGTTACTCATTAGCTGGTTTAGTTGTGTGAGTCCTGAAGCAGTCACTCGTTGGCTGGTTTAGTTGTGTGAGTCCTGAAGCAGTCACTCGTTGGCTGGTTTAGTTGTGTGAGTCCTGAAGCAGTCACTTGTTAGCTGGTTTAGTTGTGGGAGTCCTGAAGCAGTCACTCGTTGGCTGGTTTAGTTGTGTGAGTCCTGAAGCAGTCACTCATTAGCTGATTTATTTGACTGAATTTTTGTTGAATATTTTGTTTTTTCTACTGTTATGGTATTGTTATAGTATTACAGTTAAGCAGTAAATGAATGTGTACAAATATTTATATCCATGTTTAATTCTTTTACAGAGAATTAGAAAGTTTTATGAAAAAAATGACAATTATTGATGACTTACTGGACATTCCAAATGTTTGTGGTGGGATGCAGCAGATGTCAGACAGGGATAAGGTAAGTCAAATATTTGTGGTGGGATGCAGCAGATGTCAGACAGGGATAAGGTAAGCCAAATATTTGTGGTGGGATGCAGCAGATGTCAGACAGGGATAAGGTAAGCCAAATATTTATGGTGGGATGTAGCAGATGTCAGTCAGGGATAAGGTAAGTCAAATGTTTGTGGTGGGATGCAGCAGATGTCAGTCAGGGATAAGGTAAGTCAAATATTTGTGGTGGGATGCAGCAGATGTCAGACAGGGATAAGGTAAGCCAAATATTTATGGTGGGATGTAGCAGATGTCAGACAGGGATAAGGTAAGCCAAATGTTTGTGGTGGGATGTCACAGATGTCAGACAGGGATAAGGTAAGTCAAACGTTTGTGGTGGGATGTAGCAGATGTCAGACAGGGATAAGGTAAGTCAAATGTTTGTGGTGGGATGTAGCAGATGTCAGTCAGGGATAAGGTAAGTCAAATGTTTGTGGTGGGATGTAGCAGATGTCAGACAGGGATAAGGTAAGCCAAATGTTTGTGGTGGGATGTCACAGATGTCAGACAGGGATAAGGTAAGCCAAATGTTTGTGGTGGGATGTCACAGATGTCACACAGGGATAAGGTAAGCCAAATGTTTGTGGTGGGATGTCACAGATGTCAGACAGGGATAAGGTAAGCCAAATATTTGTGGTGGGGTGTCACAGATGTCAGACAGAGATAAGGTAAGCCAAATGTTTGTGGTGGGATGTCACAGATATCAGACAGGGATAAGGTAAGTCAAATGTTTGTGGTGGGATGTCACAGATGTCAGACAGGGATAAGGTAAGCCAAATGTTTGTGGTGGGATGTCACAGATGTCAGACAGGGATAAGGTAAGCCAAATGTTTGTGGTGGGATGTCACAGATGTCAGACAGGGATAAGGTAAGCCAAATGTTTGTGGTGGGATGTCACAGATGTCAGACAGGGATAAGGTAAGCCAAATGTTTGTGGTGGGATGTCACAGATGTCAGACAGGGATAAGGTAAGCTAGATGATTTTGGTGGGATGTCACAGATGTCAGACAGGGATAAGGTAAGCCAAATGTTTGTGGTGGGATGTCACAGATGTCAGACAGGGATAAGGTAAGCCAAATGTTTGTGGTGGGATGTCACAGATGTCAGACAGGGATAAGATAAGCCAAATGTTTTTGGTGGGATGTCACAGATGTCAGACAGGGATAAGGTAAGCCAAATGTTTTTGGTGGGATGTCACAGATGTCAGACAGGGATAAGGTAAGCCAAATATTTGTGGTGGGATGTCACAGATGTCAGACAGGGATAAGGTAAGTCAAATATTTGTGGTGGGATGTCACAGATGTCAGACAGGGATAAGGTAAGCTAGATGATTTTGGTGGGATGTCACAGATGTCACACAGGGATAAGGTAAGCTAGATGATTTTGGTGGGATACAGTAATAAGCCCACTCCCTCATTTCTAAGAAGTGATTTGATAGATACCTTGGCTTATCACAGGATAAGTATGGTTGTTCAAAGGCTGTTTAGAGAAAACCAAGGGTTAGTGAACATTTTCTAAAACTGGAAAGTCTTTACTATTTCACAGCTGTAAGTTTGTTCAGACAGGTCAGATTGGTATATTTTGAGTGTTTATTTTACATTTTACACTCTTTGTTCAGTGGCAGCGATTTGAACTTTCCACTAAACACTGATTAAATCTAACTAATTTTTGAGCAATTCCGGACCAGATATTTAACTGGATGGTTAAATTATACTGGGATAAGGATGAGTGACATTCTATTTCACTGCACTTGATTTTTTTTGTTTTACTTCATTATCAACAACAGAGAGAATTTGTATAATATCAACGGAATACTTGAAATATACATTATGTATCCAAAATAAGCATTTTGAAGTATGTTAAATGTTCTATGTTACAATGTTTTATGAGGGATGACAGAAAAATCACAACATTTTTGTTGTTGAATTTCAGAAACATGGCTCAGGTATACCAGCTATGTTGGAACTTATGACTAATTGTCTGTCAGATGTCATGACACTGGAAAGTAAGGTAAGACTTGACAAAGTAAAGGGCAATAACTTGCATTAATGTAAGAATAACTGGAATGGGAAATATAATACTGGGATAAGGGAAGACAATGGGAGATTAAAGCGGTTATTTAAGTTAAGGAGGAAAAGAAAGGGGAATAACTCTTAACAAAAAAAGAAATAATACGAAGGGAAGTGACATGGAAGTCACTCCAATGTAAAGAAATAGTTGCGCAGTAATGAAGGAAGAACTCAAAGGTAGGGGGAATAACTCTGTGAAAGAAATAAGTAAAATAACACAGAAATGTAAGATACAGCAAGCAATTTATGTCTAAAATTGATGAATGTGTCCATATTTTTTCAATTAGTTGGAAATAAATGGTATATACTATGTATTGAACTTTGAAATGTTACCGTTTCTGTTACAGGTTCATGATACCGTGCGTTACTATGCTGTGTCTCATTACGACTATGTTGAAGCGGAAGCAGAAGACAAGGGTGTACCTGATGACCTTACACCTTTCTTATCCTCCATTGGAAAACCAGTCATTCCACGAATTGAATTTGAGGTAGGATGATATGATGTCACTTCTTATTTCTTTAAATGGAATTTTCAGACAACATATAGAATTTATAAATAGTGCATAGTACTAACTTAAAATGCCTATGAATTCTTGATTTTAGCTAATTTTTCAAAAGAGAATTCTTTATGGAATGTACATTTTGAAAAATTGTTAAAGATCAAAACAATTTACTCTTTCTAAGATAGCTATAAAAACAAGTAGTCTTTGCTGTCCTTCATAGTTGACGACTTTAAAAAAACTCATATATTAGGACTGTGCTTCTTAAAAGTGTAAAATCAAGCTTTTAAAAGTCATGTCACAGTTCAAAGTTGGCCTATATACATTTTGAATTGTACAAGCATGTGTCGTTTAGGGATAGTGTTTTAGGAAAGAACGTAAGTTAAGTATCAAATGTAAATCAATATTACCTAGGTATTTAAGTAGAAGAACTAATATCTTTTAAGAAAATAAGGTGAAAGTCTTAAGATTTAAGTCAATTGAATTTTGTATATTTTCATACCTGATTCTGTGCCATTTGCCTCTGCCAGGTGAAGACTCCTACATATAGACAGACAGATAAAATCACCACCAAAATGACTCTAACAATAGACATTCCAGCTGGTAAAATGTTTGCCGTCAAACCCTCCAAGGATATCCTCGACTCCAACAGCCTCATCACACATGACAGAAGTATGTACTTGCTGTGGTTAAACTGATAATCATTTTGAAAATATAAAACATGCATATTTCATATAAACTAATTGTATCATTGTTTGCAGGTACTTTCACACTTTTTTGTTTTTGTTTTATTGGAATCTGATGATTTCATCTGAGTTTGATTTAAATGTGATATCGGGTTTTAGTCGTACAACTATACAAGAAATTATCCCTGATTTTATTTTGATATACATAATGTGATAATTATTTAAGCTACAGATTACTATCACATGACAAAAGTCTGTGACAACATCACAAAATCTTTAAACAACTTTTACGATTCATCGTTCATGATATATTCATGTATTTTAAGACAAACAAAGATTGTAATAGATTAATATAGTACGTGTTTTTTATTTGTATCATGGAGGTAAAACAGATTGACCCTGGTAACATCAAGAATTTTAGAGACTTTAAAGAATGCACAAAGATTTTTTTAATCCTCATACGATTTCAGGGATTTTAATGAACCTTACATTTGTATCTTTATGAGGTTTCCTGAACATCCAGAGGATTATGAAAGTCTTCTGGGAATTCAGACATTTTTATGAGGTCCCTTGCACTTGCATATGATTTTGAATGTCATTTGGGAATTGAATTCAGGCCTTTTTTGATTTCAAGCCTTTGCATGGGATCTCAGGCTTTTTTGAAACTTTTATGAGATTTCAATCACACATGGATGTTATAACGAATGCTAATGAACATTTTAATTAATTTGAACAGTTGTACAGTTGGTGAAAAGTTCATCAGACAACTGTCGTCTGGATCTAATCTATGACACAAAAAAGAAGATGACCTACATTTTCAACAGTGCGCTGGTCCGTGAAAACTTTTGTCATCAAATCTTACAGATGAAAAATATGCATTCCAAGGATGTGGATGTGGACCAGATTTCCATCTTTATCGGAACATGGAATATGGGTAAGATTTTATAGCTATCCTTCTTATCCCCTGCTTGACAATTCGGTGGGGCGTATTGAAATGAGCTTCATCTGTCCATTCAGTTGAAATGATTGTGCAGTCATCATCTGGAAGACCATTTGTACGAGAGGGTGTATACTTACACGATAAGTAAAACATGGTTGTTCTACAGAATAAGGGTGACATGGTTTATTGGTTACATTGCAATATGTCTGAAAACTAGTTTCTAAGCAGGTATATTGATGATAGTGTCTTCATGTGTGTAATCTAGGACACACACCATCTGGCTTTGATCCTGACATGAGAAAGTTAGCTTTTGTAATTAATCGCTATTCTGATGTGAGGTTGCTTTTTGTCTGTATTGACTGCAGTGTCTGTGTTTTGTAATAATTTAGCACTAGTCTTCTCTGTTTAATACTTGAAGGAGACAGCCATCCATTAAATGGGATCCCTTCATGGCTTCAGTGTCAGTGTTTTGTAATAATTTAGCACTAGTTATCTCTGTTTAATTCTTGAAAGAGACAGCCATCCATCCTTTCTGGCTGCAGTGCCTGTGTTTTATTTAACCATTGGTTTAATCTCTGTTTAATTGTGACAGGGGACAGCCAGCCATTAAGTGGGATTGCTCCATGGCTACGATGTAAAGGCTGTAGTAAAGTCAAAGATCCTCAGGTCGTTGGTGTGATTCCCCATGATCTATATGTTATTGGCACACAGGAAAGTGCACAAACAGAAAAAGACTGGGTCAATTTCCTGAAGAAGAATATCAAAAACAACTTCATGTTGGAAGTAGAAGTGGTGAGAATTATGTAATCATTGTCAAATTGCTTGGATATAGAACTCGATGATTATCTCCCCTGAACCCAAAATCAGTCTCTGATTTATTGTATTGTTGAAAATGACAAATGATAACTGCTTCAAAATTTTAATGAAAACAGATATTTTTGGTAATGATATCACTAATCAAATTCATAGATTGTGATACATAAGTATCATCACGAGTGGTTGTGTCCTTGGGCAAGAGACTTCACCTTAGTTCCTACAGAAGTCCTGTTTCTTATTCATTGTGGTAGCCAACAGATACTGAAAGGAGACACTGCCTTAAAAGGACCATTGCTGTTTATGGGATGATGAACCCAGCCATTAATTGATAGTAATGTTAGTGTGTTTGGTAGTGATGTTCTGTGTGACTATATGGAAGTGAGAAGGTAAACTGATTAACATGTTATCCGTGACAGGTGGAAGTGTGTACATTGTGGGGTATACGACTTGTGATACTTTTGAAGAAGGAACTAATGCACAACATTAACCGAGTTCAAAGGTCAACTGTAAGGACAGGGATTGCAAATGCTCTAGGTAAGGAAATTTAATCACAAAGGAAGAGATTGATGTATCATTAATGGTTACTGCAATTTTATCTTTATTTTTCGAAGAATCAAAGCACAGGACCTGAAAATGACAGTAAATCAGCTTTAACTATTGAGAAAAATTAACTCTCACGTCAAATTATGGCTATTCCATCTTTTTTCACATAAGCTTGAAAATTGACACAGATAGAAGCCTGAAATGAGATATTCAATCTAGAATAAAACTTTTCTCAATTTTAGTAGTTGTAGCATAGAAGGAATATATCTTGTTTACAATGAAGGTGTTCACTAAGATACAACGTTCACCCTTGGTTCACTCACAATATTGAAAAAATGAAACTGCAAATTATTTAAAATACTTTCTATGCAGGAAACAAAGGAGGTGTTGGTATCTCCTTTTACTTCAGGGGGACCTCTTTCTGCTTTGTCAACACTCACCTGACGTCAGGGGATGAGCGCAATGTCAGGTAGGTCAGAGGGGCAGGGTCAGATGGTTCAGGTCATGGTACCATAACCAAGAAAATTTTAAAAATAGCTAGGTGCAGTATTTTTACTTAGACATGGCTGGTGTCTTGAAGGCATAACCAGAATTTTAAGGAGAGATATTACTTGCTATACATACAACTTTCCATTTTTTTTTTTTTAATTTTATATTCTTGTATGGTTTTGTAGACGTAACCAGAATTTTAAGGACATCATCAAGGGACTCTCACTTGGTCAGAAACATCTCGGTCTTACAGACATCACAAACCAATTTCATCATCTCTTCTGGTTCGGTGACCTCAATTATCGCGTTGAGGAGGACGTACAGGTAATCTCATGACATACAATTATTGACCCTTGAAAAGCAGTGCTGACCTTGGCCTTCTGCCTCAGTATCAGAAAGGTACCAGAAAGGCAATCTGCTCCCCATTAGACTATAACTAATTGATCGAAATGAAATGAACAAGAATTACCAGACTGAGTAATTTTGCGTATTATCCTAAATCCATTTGACCGATTTTTTCAGGTGCTGTTACGCAAACTTGAAGAAAATGATATAAAGAGCTTACTAGCCAAGGACCAACTACGCAGATCTCAAAAAGAGCACAAGGGATTCAATGGCTTTCGTAGGTTATCTTTTCTTTTTTCTTCGATACTTGACAAGTATTGATAAATAGCTCTTTTCTCTGCCTGACGTCTTGTTCCCTATGCTCTGATTCCAAAAGTCTACCTATCACCAACTTTCATATGTGGGTCGTTAGGAAAGAGTACTGTAGTAGTACAGGTCACTGTGGACCTGTATTTTATGCCTCACTGAACTTGATAAAGACTTTTGAGATTGGTTAATTTATTTTGAAGGAGAAATTAGGATGTGTGTAATAGTTAAAAGAGGAGTTTTAAAAATAAAAGTGTTTATATCTTTTGCTGAAGGAAAATCTCAAATCTTTTCAGAGGAGGCAGAAATTTCCTTCAAACCAACCTACAGGCTCCCAAGGAGTGAGAGGAAATGGAGTTACGACTGGAAAAAAGTCAAGAAGACTGGGGTAAGTATAAAACACAGACAAATTTTAAGGATGACTCCAGTGGTGTTTATTGTGGAATTGTTCCGTTGGTATGAAATTTGTTCATTTAAATTGATGTATATGTTTTAGATAAGGATAAACACGCCCTCTTGGTGTGATCGAGTGTTATGGAGGTCCTACCCAGGAACATACATACAGAACCTTGCATATGGTATGTGATCAACAGTCAATGTACAGAGGTACCTTTGTATCTTTGAGTGCACGCAATTGCTGACTCAGTCATCCTTGATATCTGTCATGTCTTTCATACAGTTTATGGTCCATCCCTCAAGGGAACCAGGTTAATTACCAAACTCTTTGATTCAACTTTACTTGGTTTCAGCTGATCTGACTCTAAAGCCCCATTATTATTAAATTATCTTTATTAAAAAGCAGTGTTTCATGAAAATTTCAAAAATTAACTTTTTATAGCTATTTTCAGTGTGAAGATTAAGATTGAGACCATTAAATATTAAAATTACAAACTATATAATTATGTAAGAAAATTTTTTCAAAAAATAAAAATTTGAAAATATGTTGTAAAATATAATGTTTCTTGTACTCATGAGTTGAATATGTACAGGTTGTGCAGATAGTGTCCTTGGGAGTGACCATCGTCCAGTTTTTGCTTCATTTAACACTGGGATTGCCTCTGACTTTGTGATGAATCGAGACTCCTTGGCAGAAGAATCTCCCACTAAAATCGTATTCCAGCAGATTGAGGCTGAGGTAATTACCCTTCATACTAGTAACTGTTAGCAATATATATATCAGCTGTACAACATTTATTACAACATCAGAGGTTGTGTGAGGAAGTTTCATCATGTACACATATTAAAGTAACAAATGAGATAATTCTTACTGATGTAGTTGTGATATCAAGTCCTTTATATTATACAGATATATAGATATTTTTCTCCGGATGTTGTAGTTGTGATATTAAGTCCTTTATACTATACAGATATATATATATTTTTCTCCGGATGTTGTAGTTGTGATATTAAGCCCTTTATACTATACAGATATATATATATTTTTCTCCGGATGTTGTAGTTGTGATCAGGCTCTGTTACAGAATGTGATTCAAAACTTAACATTAATCATTTCTTTCCACAGTTGATCACTTACTGTCGACAAACCTTTCAGTTAGAATTCCAGTCCACCTGTCTTCCAGGTAAGTCAGACATTTTGTTTTATGAAAAGTTAAGGCAGGGTTTTGCTTGGAACTATGTCTGTGGGTTTCTTGATTAGGGCTTTTTTCAGAAACTTCCAAAATAACTCTCTTTCAAGAAAAAAAATGAATGCTCTTTCTTTACTGATATCTCCGTTTTAATGTTCTTTCAGTTCAGCATCAAATTCAAGAATATATTCTTATGATTAATTTCAGAAAAGAAAATTTAGAAAAAATTTGATTTATATTTTCAATTGAATGGCAGATAGCAGCAATTGTAGTTCACAATTACTTGTAATTGATTTTGTTTAATTCGAATCTGTCATTCAAATTGCAGAAGTTGTTACAAGTAAACCTAACAGCCGATTCAAGGACTGTGCACAGGGTTTCACCTGTCCTTTCTGGTGTAAACAGGAAATACCGACGGTGTGTATAACAGGGTGATGTCAAGAAACAATTATTTCCTTATTAATCTATTAGATATGATGCAGATTTAAAGAGAAGATTAAGTTAACAAACTTACTCATTAGATTTGTATGGTTGTGCAGTCAGTTGACAATGTAAGTTTTTTAGAGCTCATTTATATGATAAAATCATCACCATATCAATAAATAAAGCCACTCAAAATGTTATTTATTGACAAATACCAGTGTTCAGGTGAAAGCGTATTCTAGATGTCAATTTGAATTTAATGCAAAGTTTTGCTAAGTGTTTCTATATATGATTTCTAGATTTAATTTTTAAGTTTTTCATGTAAGGTAAGGCCAGTTTTGTTTTCACTCTTATGTAGATGAAACCTCTGTTTGGAGATGAAGACTTTCTTAAGGAACAACATATTTTGATATCCGTACGGTCGAAATGTGGGGACAATGAATCCTATGGTAAGTGTTCATACTTATCCCTCAAAAACTTCAGACAAAGTAATCCCTGTGAGACTTTTAAGTATCTCTGGGCAACTGAAGCTGGTGGCAGTATCTAACGATTTTTTTATATCAGAATATCTAAAAGTTACCATATCATTATCTGGTATATCTTCATCAGTATTATCATACATGACCTGCTGTAGCTGTGATTATGTATATGTTTTACTACCTAGTTTATCTATGATTATCTGTGTTTTATTATTTCTTAGTTGACAAGCGACTACCTATATGTGATAAATTCTTAGTTTACTTGTGATTACCTGTATGTGATCTTAGTTTACTTGTGATTACCTGTATGTGATCTTAGTTTACTTGTGATTACCTGTATGTGATCTTAGTTTACTTGTGATTACCTGTATGTGATCTTAGTTTACTTGTGATTACCTGTATGTGATCTTAGTTTACTTGTGATTACCTGTATGTGATCTTAGTTTACTTGTGATTACCTGTATGTGATCTTAGTTTACTTGTGATTACCTGTATGTGATCTTACTTTACTTGTGATTACCTGTACTTGTGATTACCTGTATGTGATCTTAGTTTACTTGTGATTACCTGTATGTGATCTTAGTTTACTTGTGATTACCTGTATGTGATCTTAGTTTACTTGTGATTACCTGTATGTGATCTTAGTTTACTTGTGATTACCTGTATGTGATCTTAGTTTACTTGTGATTACCTGTATGTGATCTTAGTTTACTTAGTTTACTTGTGATTACCTGTATGTGATCTTAGTTTACTTGTGATTACCTGTATGTGATCTTAGTTTACTTGTGATTACCTGTATGTGATCTTAGTTTACTTGTGATTACTTGTATGTTATGACTTCCTAGTTTACCCGTGGTTATGGATGTTTGAATACTACATAGTTTACCTGTAATTACCTGTGTGTGATTAACTATGTTTGAATGCAGGTGAATGTGTTGTTGAGATGAAAGGAAAATTTGACCTCATGCCTCAAGTTTTTGAGTTTGAACTGTTGCACCAAGGGGAGGTTACTGGAAGTCTTAGGTGAGTTTTGTGTATTAATTGGGGGAAAATATATCATTTTCATCGTATCATCTGCCAAACTAATTTTGTTACAGTTGAAAATAATGATTATCATTTATTTTCATAAAGCTAGTAAACAATGCATAAATATGATAATATATTACTTTTGTATGTATTACCTATTTTCATACAAACAATAATTTGTTACTTTATAAATGACCAGCATTTGGTTTTGGTTTTTACCTTGATAAAGATTTACACAGATGATGATAATATGTTTTAGGGGTCAGCTCCAGGTTTTGACAGGTCCTCTGGCTGTGAGACACAAGAATTCAAAGAGGAGTTATGGTAATGATAGAGCTCACTTTGTCTCGCTGCATGTATAGGCAATTATTCTGTCAGTAAAAAAATGTAGAAATTTCCACAACACCATAACCCACGGAATCTAAATAATGATGTTCTTTTACGTCATTACTTTAGTGGTCACTAAAGAGTAGAAGCATGTACATATTTCAGTAACTGTAGTGTATCAGTATGTCAAAGCTACGGAAGAAGTTGATATTTCAATACTTTAAAGTACACAGAATTTGTGATATAAATAAAAATAATGTATTCCTTAAATTATAATAATGACAAAAAAAAATCATCATTTGAAGCTATCATTTAATAACTAAAGGTTGTTTTAAAGAACTGGGGTATGTTTTAGTGAATATTTCTGATCCATCAATCCAGGATCAATCCAGGAAGCATTCCATGCCTACCTGGACATCATTGTGTCTGGAACACAACAAGGTTCTACTGTATACACATACTTAGGTGTAACATTCCGTGCCTATCTGGACATCATTGTGTCTGTAATTTTATCTATGAATGAATACTACTAACACTTGGTGTCATCTTTGCGTATGATAGGTAGGGAACCTTATACTGACATTATTTGGGAAAGGAAGGGAAAAAAGGTGTTAAAGATAAAAGAAAATGCAAAATGGAAATGTTTTATTATTTTGTTCAATTGATGCAAAGAGACTTTCCTTTTCGTCTCTAAAACACAGAGTATATTATTCATTGTTTTCAAGGTCTTAAAAAGTAAATATACCTGACGCAAGAATAATTAATTGAATAGATGATGTGATGGCCAGTGTCTTTTAAAGGGCACTTCTCAATTTATTTCTGATTCTATTGTCTCAACTACAAGTTTCTCAACATATATTTTATATTTCTGATCACTTAGAGCTCATCGCTCTAGACACAGAGTACCATGACCCCGACCTTTGGCACCCAGAATCGCCAAAGTTTGAACGACGGGATCACCCGTCAGGACCACTGCCTTGTTTTGATACAGAAGTTCCTGTTTATGAGGTGATTGACTCCGACCCTGCAGCATGTGGAAGACAACAAAAAGGAAACATGCCTAAAAGTCCAGCTGAACGTCCCCCAGCACTCCTTCCACGTAGTGCCACTGATGATACTCCGGTACTTTATATATACAAATATTATGTCTGTAATGATGTGACAACATCAATGCTAGAGTAAGCTCATGTGCAAGAACTACTTTGTTTCATAGTTACATTATAACAATTTCTGTTTTGTCTGTGGTCATGCATCATGAGCCATCTGCTGTGCGTGAACTTTGCACAATTCAATATGGCCATCATAACCACCATCTTGAAAAACACGTTTTTGATTCTCTAGTTCCACCGGTGCCATGAATCAGAAAATTGGTGGGGATGTTAAAGAAAGGATGACAAAATGTTGTTATATTTTGGCTGCATCAAAAGATTTATATGATAGCTATGGTGGCCATTTTGTAACATGATTGAATGAACATTATTTCCTGAACAGCATTTATTATGAACTTTTTCTCATGTTCCACCATTGTAATTTTGCTCAAACTTGCCTGAATAGATCCCAAGATGGTACTGAACCATTAATGGTTTTCAGAGTATGCCCAAAGTCCAATACATCTGTCATTTTGAAAAGGAAATTTAAACTTCATCAGTGCCATTGAGATTGAGATGAAAATTTGTTTGAAATTTTTAAATCAGCTGAAGAAAGCTTGAGTGCTTTTTTGTAATATTTTCTGCCGAAAATGAGAATATTTGAAAATATTCAATTGTACCCTTTACAAGGGTGTACTGGTGGCATAGTGGTAACACACTCACCTTTCACCTAACCATCTGGGGTTTGATTCCCGAACAGAAGTGAAAAGGTTAGGATTCACCTGTCTGACCACCTGGGTTTTCCCCGTGAACTCTGGTTTCTTCCCACAATAAGACCCCTTGCACACTTAACTCTGGACCAACAAGAGTGATTAGTATAAGTTGAAATAATTTGTTTCAAAATTGTTGTAAAATAAATAAAGTTTGTATTTACCCTTTACTACTAACTGCTATTACAGTGTATAACAAGTGTCTGTAGTCAGATGACTGTTGGGTCTCTTGTATCTAATGTCAGTAATGATTTTCAGATCAAATCTGTCTTATCAAAACTTTGCAATATACCCTCATGAAAAAACATGCAGTCACTCTTTACCCAGATTTTATCTAAAAGTCAATCTCAAAATCACTATCGATACCAAAATAGCAAAAACTTCAGGATAGTAGATTTGGTCTCTTAACTCAAAAGAATTATAAAAAAGTATCTTTTGGTGTTATCTTTTAAAAGTACTAAAAACTTCACACAGCATTTTGTAGAATTACCGATACCAATACTAGATATATCTATGGTATATTTACAGAATTCACGGTCCAAGACACAGCCATACATGGGACAGGCAAGTCTGCAGACTAGACAAGTATTACCAGCCAGCTCAGCACTTATGGGGTCAGAGGTCACCTCACACACAAGACCCCCTGACATACCACCGCCACCCTTACCCAAGAAAAGTGGTGCAATATCATTCCAGGTATCTGTCAATGACTCAGTCGTCTTCTTTTCGTTTGATACTTTGTGGTTTCCATTTGTTGAAATTATCAGAAGGAATCATTACAAAGCTTGTAAAAATCAACAAATATTGTTTGAATTTTTTTTCCAAATGTCTATGAAAATAGATCTCTGAATTAACTGATTTAATTTTGAATTTTAATTTCACACATCAATTTTGTAATTTAAGATTCTTACTGATCAGTCTCATTCATTAATGGTCATTAATTCCTTAATAAATTAAAAACAAAAACAGAACAAAGTCATGCATGCTTCCTTATCTTAACCTATAATGATAATACCTGTAGTATCCATCTAAATTCACTTTCAAAACTATGTGAAGTGAGTTGTCGGACTTGACTTTTGTCCTGCCAGTAAAGACACTCTCTTTGGTCCTGCCAGTAAAGACACCCTCTTTGGTCCTGCCAGTAAATGCTCATTCTCTTTGGTCCTACCATTAAATGGATTTTCTCTTTGGTCCTACCATTAAATGGATTTTCTCTTTGGTCCTACCATTAAATGGACTTTCTCTTTGGTCCTACCATTAAATGGATTTTCTCTTTGGTCCTACCATTAAATGGACTTTCTCTTTGGTCCTACCATTAAATGGACATTCTCTTTGGTCCTACCATTAAATGGACTTTCTCTTTGGTCCTACCATTAAATGGATTTTCTCTTTGGTCCTGCCATTAAATGGACTTTCTCTTTGGTCCTACCATTAAATGGATTTTCTCTTTGGTCCTGCCATTAAATGGATTTTCTCTTTGGTCCTACCATTAAATAGACTTTCTCTTTGGTCCTACCATTAAATGGATTTTCTCTTTGGTCCTACCATTAAATGGACTTTCTCTTTGGTCCTACCATTAAATGGATATTCTCTATGGTCCTACCATTGAATGGTCATACTCTTTGATCCTACCATTAAATGGACTTTCTCTTTGGTCCTACCATTAAATGGATTTTCTCTTTGGTCCTACCATTAAATGGACTTTCTCTTTGGTCCTACCATTGGTCCTACCATTGAATGGTCATACTCTTTGGTCCTACCATTAAATGGACTTTTGCTTTGGTCCTACCATTAAATGGACTTTCTCTTTGGTCCTGCCAGTAAATGGTTATTCTCTTTGGTCCAGCCATTAAATGGAATTTTCTCTTTGGTCCAGCCATATTATGGACCAGTGCATTATATATTGTTATTTTTAGTCATTGACTATTCCACAAGATGTCAGATAACTACTAATAAATCTCTATCATACAGATACAGATTGAGATGAACCGATAATCACTTACAAAACTTATGTTACAGGACCATGCCATGAGGTACGACACACTAAAGAGACCCTCGAGTGTGACAGACTGGCTACTTGGTCTTAGCCTCCCAGAGTACATCGAGAGATTCATAAAAAACGGATTTGATGCTATGCATTTTGTGACTAATATAAGTTGTGATGATCTCATCGAAATAGGAATTGACAACCCTGTGCATCAAAGCCGTATCATAAGCAGTCTTCGGGACATGAAGTGACATCATACGTTATTGGCCATGTGACGGACATGTGACTATATTTGTTAAACCTGCTACAGTTAAGATTGATGCCAACCATCTGTTATAAAATTAGTATTGTTGTTCAGGACTTTACATTGCCAATCGGCTGTTTAGGGTCTTTATTTTGTTTGAATCCTGCAGCTGATATGGGCTTTCCACTTGCATTTAGTTCCTTACTTTAAGCCTTGCTTCTCAAAACAGTTTTAATATATTTTAAATGCATTTTCATATGTCTCATTCTAATAGCATATTATTTCACTGTTTGTTTGCTTCACATTTTAAATTGTTTATACTTTTAGAAAATGTTCACAAAGTATGCTCGAATTTTTGTGTATACACAGTGTATTATTGTGAATACCGTATGAAGTACATGACTAACACTTACTATTTTGAATTTCCATGTTAGTGCAATTATTAAACATTGCAGTTTGAGTGTAATGGATGGCTATGTTGATATTCAGATTTAATACTGTTGAAGACTGTTTGCAAGGCAATAACAAAACAAATTTGGAAATTGTTAATATCACTTTTGAAACAGACTTTTTTTTTTTTTTTTTTTTGTAATTAATTTGGAAAATATGTTAATTTGGACATCAAAGTAGTTGGCCTAATAAAGTTTAAGTATATATTTTCAGATTGAAAGTACTGGGAATATCTGTGATGAAATATATGTGACCTTTGACCCATGCAGTATATGTAGGGTAAGAGTAAATAGGTGATCAGTAGGGAAGGCTTAAACTTCCTTATATGGCAAGGAATGCTACAGTAAAAATCTTGTGATGAGAAGCATTCAACAATTAGTAATTCAATACATTCCTAAGAGAGAAAAAAAATGGTCAAAAGAAAGGTTAGAAGTCTAAAATACTCATTGTAAATAGACTTTTACCATTCTAGTGACCCAATTCCTCATCTGTAATGATGTTGGTGTTTTTTGTCTTTATCTAAACATACCTTTTGTATTAAGTCTTATAATTAAGTACCAGACCAAATGAGTTACCATGAATATACAGTGTCTGTAAACACTTGTTTAAATACCGATTTCAGAAGTGGAATTTCTCAATATTTAATAATGAAGATAATGTAGTTATCAAAGCTACCAGCAATTATTTCATTTTAGATCAGACAGATTTCATTTACCCTGGGTTACCAAATATTTCACTTACCATGGTTACTACAGATGTCACTTACTGGCAGACACAACAGATTTCAATTATCTGTAGCTACCAAAGATTTCACTTTCTGATAGTTACCACAGATTTCACTTACATTTAGATACCACACATTTCACTTAAAGGTAGATACCACAGATTTCACTTACAGGTAGATACCACAGATTTCACTTTCTGATAGTTACCACAGATTTCACTTCCAGGTAGATACCACAGATTTCACTTGCAGGTAGATACCAAAAATTTCACTTTCTGATAGTTACCACAGATTTCACTTCCAGGTAGATACCACAGATTTCAATTATCTGTAGCTACCAAAGATTTCACTTTCTGATAGTTACCACAGATTTCACTTACATGTAGATACCACACATTTCACTTCCAGGTAGATACCACAGATTTCACTTTCTGATAGTTACCACAGATTTCACTTACAGGTAGATACCACACATTTCACTTCCAGGTAGATACCAAAGATTTCACTTTCTGATAGTTACCACAGATTTCACTTTCTGATAGTTACCACAGATTTCACTTCCAGGTAGATACCACAGATTTCAATTATCTGTAGCTACCAAAGATTTCACTTTCTGATAGTTACCACAGATTTCACTTACATGTAGATACCACACATTTCACTTCCAGGTAGATACCACAGATTTCACTTTCTGATAGTTACCACAGATTTCACTTACAGGTAGATACCACACATTTCACTTGCAGGTAGATACCAAAGATTTCACTTTCTGATAGTTACCACAGATTTCACTTTCTGATAGTTACCACAGATTTCACTTCCAGGTAGATACCACAGATTTCAATTATCTGTAGCTACCAAAGATTTCACTTTCTGATAGTTACCACAGATTTCACTTCCAGGTAGATACCACAGATTTTACTTCCAGGTAGATACCACAGATTTCACTTCCAGGTAGATACCACAGATTTCACTTACTGGTAGATGCGACAGATTTCAACAATATTAACAGATGATAACAAGCTTCAGTCATCTTTTGTGTCATACGCACATGATTTAGTTTGTTCGATAATAAACTCTCTCTTCCTCCTGTTTTATTGGCTTAGCAGAAACACCCAAGCGTGTTTTAGAGTATGCTGTACCTAAGTGTTTTAGCTCTAGGCCAGAGGTGGGCACAACTTATTACTGAAGGTGCTTGCAACAGGCAATCAGCGCCTTCTCCATCCAATTCAGTATCTTTATTTACAGTTTTCATTTAGTTCCATTTCTATGAAAGGAACAAGGAACAGTTTGGGCATAAGCTGTTTTATACCAAATTTACATCTTTGATTTTTATTGATGGTTAAAATATGGGCTTGAGGGTTAAAGCAAGTTTCAAGCTTCTCTCAAGCCTATACCATACTTTAAATGTACATGCATGTTGTACATTACAGGACTTTGTCTTCTTTAGATATAACATTTGTTTATTGTTAAAAAGAAATAATTTGTGAATGCATTTAACAAAAATCTAGTAAAGAAACATGACTGAGTTTTAAATATAATTCTTTAATATTTTTTTTTCTAAATCGTTGATGGTATTAACTAAGGTGTGTTTCTTAAAGGTACTTTTTATATGTATATGTGCAAAGATTTAATATATCCGTTCTATCCTTAAACAATGTTGTAAAGTTTTAATCTCGTCAGGAAATATGTTATCAAATTTCTAAATATTCATGTCGGAAGTTGCTGTGTTTTTGCGTTACCATATACATACATGTGTTCTATTTTGATACAAATATTATATACATTTTTAATTTTATTTTGTCTTGTGCTACATGTAATCATGATATTACCGCAGTGCTTTTGTGCTCTAACATACAGTATAATTATGCTTCCTCTCAGTGCTGATCGTAAACTCCATTGTATCCTTTGATGACAATATTTGAAACACATTCTTAAAAAGTCTTTTACTTAACACTAAAACATATGGATAATTTGCTTGATTTCAACCACAGACCAGATGTGCTTTTATGTATATTTGAAAAAAAACATCCCAGTTAATATATTATTATTATCATACCTAAAACTTGAGTGTAACACAAGTCTTAGAAAAAGAACGCTTGAGTGAGACTTTCACATATACCTAGTACATCTCTATTGACAATAAGGCTAACACTAAGACATGTGCATCACTTAATTATCAACATAGCCATGGAAAGCTCCTTTGGTATATCAGATCAGTCTGTATTTTAACAGCATTCCATATCAGCTGATATCCTTTAAATAGCAGTGGTGCTGAATGTACTCGGTGTATTGAATTCAAACATCCTCAGGCCTCATGCAGGATCTTCACACATTACTTGATCAAAATCAAACAGGTCGTATATAATTGTAATACTCTAGCTAAAGCCCAAAAGGAAAAACAAAACAAAACCTGAGGCCAAGTTGTACCTGTGTGTTATATACTCTGAACCATTACTGCTCTTAAACATGAAAGATGTATTCAGGCACTTGGAACGAATGTCATTTTGAAAAAAATCATGTCATTAATTTGCTTTGCCTTATATTTCTGTTCAAAACTTAAGATGTTTCAAGAAATAGTTGGAAACTAGTTTTTATCCGACACATAATCTTGACAAAACTTTACAAAGCAGGGTCATTTTATTAACAAGAAGTGTTTAATGTTTCAACAAATTTCAAAATACAATGTGCAAAAGAATATTTAATGACATGAAGAACGATTAAAACAAATATTTTTCCATATCAAACTGCTGATATTTTTTCAAATATTTGGCTCCCTGAAGGAGTTCAGTCGTTAATTTAATGCACCAAATATTTTGAATATGATTTTTAAAAATGAAAACTTTATTTACATTTTTTTAGGATCTATTTGCCATTCAGTAAGTAGACCATACTTTGATCTGCACTGTTATGTCTCAATGCTTGAGTTATTTACATTTTTTTAGGATCTATTTGCCATTCAGTAAGTAGACCATACTTTGATCTGCACTGTTATGTCTCAATGCTTGAGTATATGAATTACCTTGTGTCCCTAAATGGAACACACGTTTATTGTATGATGAAATTCATCAGCCATTGTCTCCACAATTATGTGGAATTTATTATTTTGATGAGGATGAAATTTTGAGATTTTTTTGCTTGTGTTCAAGAATTAAGGTTATATGCTGCCATACCTTTACCTGTGACTTGTGCTAAAAAGTTTTTTTTTAATCTTTAATTTTTTCTTCAAAATTACTTCAAAATAATCAGTGGTTTCTGTTATTAAAACAAGTCTGTTACTATTTTTAAGATATGGCAGAACTTCATTTTTTTAAAGTACATGCATGTAGAACTCTTTTGAAAGAAAAAAAGATGTATGGCAATTTAATGTAGCATATAGCCTTAAGTAGTACTTATAAAATGATATACTTTTGCTTTGCTGTCGAAAGCAGTGTCATGCTGTGGCAGAGTCTGAAGATGACTTGTCCTCATATGAAAAGTGAAATGATATTGATCATTATGATTGGAGTAAAAATTTACGGTGTTTTAGCTTTTTAGTTTTTCATCAGTACTTTGTTGGGATACATTTAGGTAAGAAATCATTTTCAATTTGCTTAAAATGTTTTCACTGTAAATGAAATTGTAATTTAATTTTTTTGTTTTGTTTGCCTTTATGAAACTTGTGATCAGCATTTTCACCTCTCCTGCCCAGACAGGAATATTCGGTTGGCAAGGTGACATCATTCCATCAAATAGTTCATGAAGAATCTGGTCTGAGTGTGTGAACTGACAACATTATCATTTTATTCAAGAACACTGTTAATATACTAGAAGTATAAATCTATGTAATTGAAATCCATGACACTTTTGGAGGGTTTTTTTTCTTCAGAAGAATGTCCCAAAAACTATGGGGTAACACTCACTGTTGACATCCCTTCTGAAATATGATTTGCAATTCATTGTTGGAATAAATAATTTCAATCTAATTCCTGTTTTTCACTTGGCCTCCTTTCCCCTACAATAAATGAGGGGTACGCCTTTTCACTGAATCTGTAGGTGGGAATATTTCTAGAGCAACGCACTCTAGCTTTGCAAACAATTTTTATCGATATTGGCACCCATGACCATTACCTGAAATAACCCTGACATTGGTTTTAAATTTTTTCCACAGATTGACTTAATGAAATAATTTTCCTTGGAGATAATCAATAAAAGATATCAGAGTGACGATCTTTACTTAATCAGAACCTGAAGTACCCCAGTATGTAGTATTGATGTTTTATGTAGATGAGATTTTGTAGAGTAGTGTGCCATCCCAAAAGTCAGTTAGCTTACGCCCGGCTATAGTGACCGTTGTCTGTTTTTTTTTTTTCTTCCCGAGTCAAGGTTTTTGTTGAAACAACCTTTTATCAATAACCAAGATGCATAGTCAAGTACAACATTGAAGGGTTTTAAAGGATGTTCAATAAATAAACTGGAGCCACATTTAAGGTCACCAGGGATAAATGTGTTTGAAGTAGATAGGACCCGTGTCATGGCATTGTGCTGGTAGCATCCTAAGATTAAAATCTGAAGGCTATAAAGCTTGTTCAAATGATTGACCTTAACCTTGTTTCAAGGTCAGAGTTGTCAGAGGTGTTAAAACCTTCAAATTAACCATAGTCGTAGCTAAGGGGCATGATATTCTACTGGCAGCATACTGAAATGAAGTACTCCCATGTTAACTGAAATGAATGCCCTTGACCCATATTCAAGGTCACAGTGCTTAAACATGTCAAATATTTGTTGACTTCTGATAGATATTTGAAAGGCCTTCTGAGATGAAGATTTATCAAGTTTGGTCTGGAAACAGGGTAGTTAGTTTGGGACAAACATGACTGTTGCCAAACTAAATGCTTCCCCATTGTCTCATTTTTTTCCTGTAAGTTGCTGGACATATGAGAGGTTACTGGCTCATTTTGGCTTGCTGTTTGGTAGGAATGGGTTTTTTTTGTTGTTGTTTTTTAGTTTTTTTTTAATTTTTTTGGAGGAGGTGTGAGGGGTGGGGTGGGAGGGGGGAGTTGAACATTTTGATGTGACAAAATATTTTACACTTCGCTCAATAGCCTGTTTTCCTGTATAAATGCTCATTTACCAATATCAGGTAAAAAGGAAAGCATAATATTTAGGTGGTTATAGATTTGAAATGTCTCAAATTGCTTCAGTTGTCTCATCTTGAAAATACATACACAGGATGATAGGATTGTCAGTTAGTCTGAAGGATCTCATTAGGATATCAATACCTCTAGCTAAATTAGTTTTATACCCCGTAGTGTTAATGTATAGAATCATGTCTTCCCACACGTAGATTATAATACATATGGATTCATTAACTTCAAAAGCAGTAAAGGATAAAACTGGGTAATTTTTAAATGAAATTCTGTCAGAGTTGGAGAAATGTAATGGATTGAATGTTTTTTAATAAATATAAAGTAAATCATTAAAAGATGAAGATATGGATAGAAATGGTGCGTAATGTTGCCAGATTTTGTGAAAATCCTCATTAAACAGTTTTAGTAACTAAACATAAAGATTCTCAGAATATGTACCTGTTGATTGTTGTTCTCATTTGAATGGAAGAATGTATAAACTTGATCATCTTCCAAAAATAGTGTGCCATTTCTTAATATTCTCATTGTGATATCATCTGTACTATCAAATTATTCTAGTGAATGCCATGTTGGTTAAGTGAAAAAATATACCATTACAATTATTCTGATTTTTTTGTGATACAATATAGTTTATATTTGGTAAAAACAATATTCCACCCCCTTCCCACATACAACATTCTTTTCGGTATTTAAAGCATAAAAGAGATTGCTTATGATACAAGTGACCCAAACATATTCCTAGATACTGACAACATCAGTGGTGTGACCCAAATAGGGATCAACCCAGGGTTATTTTACTACAGGTATTGGGTAGTTTTCCCTTGCAGCTAAAATTCTCCTTATTCAAAATGTTCCATTTGAATCTTCAAATATATTCATCTATTTTATGTATATATTACTGGGCTTTCTCTATAAATTTCGCTTATTTCAACAGAAATTACATTTTGATTTTTCAGTTTGATTGTTTTTAAGCAGAATTTGATAGATCAAGTATATTTTCTGTTTTAAAAAGAATCTTACATTATTCAAAAGTTGTTTGAACAATCAGTCACAAAGTGCTGAAAATAATCTATAAATCATCTTCAGTCTAAGAGGCTTTCTCCTAAGGCCCTTTGGACCACAAGCTATTTTCCCCAAATCACAAAAAAAAAACTTTCCCTTATATCCCAGATAGATCCTTGCAAAAGAGGTCAATTTATGCTTACTGCCCAAGACTGTTTTGTGCCATTAAAATGATCAAAATATAATGAAATACCATACAGTGGAATGATCACTTAATCATCCTGAAGCCGGCTTAATTTTATCCCTGAAGAGCTATACCAACATGGCATTCACTCATTTGGAAGACACTTTTCCAATGATGTTCTGGAGTTTACGAAATTGTCCATTTTCCATTTTATCATGTTTGTAGAAATATAATTATTACAGTATTACTCCCACTACCAATGAAAACATTTGTTAAAGTATCATATTGTTACCTACATTAAAAATACTATTACCATAACAATAAATCAATTTTAATATGACTTCTTGTTGTTTGTTTATCAGACTTCTGTATTGTAATGTAGTAAACAGATGAATAAAAACTACTGATTTCTTAGAATTTTTTAATCTAAATTACATCAGAACTTCCTTAAGGCTATTCCAGTCAAATAACTATCCTGACACATGACTCCTTGTTTTGTTTAGAGGTGCTACACATTATTGATAATTTGCCATGGACTGAAGTGATGTAATTTGGAGTCCTGCAGTAGATGTTTTACTGAAATATCCCTTACATGACTTTCTCACTTTTTTGTTACATATACAACATATATAAATCAAAACATAAAAGAATTCACTGCCCATTTCTAAAATAAAATAACCAGAATTACAACAATAATCCATTAAGTGATGACTTAATCTCACACATTTCTGAAAATATCCAATTCATATTTAATACTGAATAACGATTTTATATACAAGATAGTCCTCATGATAAGTACAGGTAAAATGACTGTACATTAACATTTCCACCAGTCATCTGATATAATCATTAAGTTATGGTTAGCACAAGCAAAACTGGTATATTTTACCACTGCATTACTATCAACTGCCATGCATTTGTTAACATTATTTGCCACTGTTGTAATGTTAAACATACAACTGAGTCTTGCATTGCATCTCCATGTCAACACAGTGTGTCTGTGTACAAGATTCCAGAACTAAGTAGTGTTAACAAAATATATTTGCAATTCCACTCCAGCTGTCAGATATTTCTGTTTTACTTGTACAGACAAACAAATCAACAGATTGGTTTAACACATCATCCAAAGATGATATGGACATGATAACCAGTACCACGGTCTTAACTGCCTACACCGATCTGTCCTGTAACAGCTGCCTCCTTAGTAAATGATACCAGGTATATAGTACCAAAGTCCTAGCTGCCATCGCCCATCTGTGCAGTGACAGTGGGACCTTTGGTCATTGATAGTTGCCGTTGTGCTTGCTGGTGTTCAATATGTAATTTGCCAAGATCCATGAGTCTGCTTCTGATATGATCCATACGATGGTAGGCTAATGTCAGGTCTTTCTGGGCGGCATAGGATGAACCTTCATGGGGTTGACCTATTTACAGAGAAATATGATTACAGAAGAACTTGAAAATGTCTTTAATTTCCTTGCTCTCAAGTACATCAGTATCAATGTTTAACAAATATCTATCATCGCTAGTAGCAATTTTGACCTTGAACTTGAAACTATCAAATTCATTCAAGTCAAAATCTTTTCATATAATCTTATCAAAGGTGATTACAATCCTTCCCCCTTCCCTCTCAGTGTTGTTGAAGTGAAGCCATTAAAAATACAAAATAATCCAAGGAATTGTTGTCATTGACCTTTATATAATATTTTGTAAACTCCTTTCAGAAATAACAGACTGACTGCAATCTGAAATGCCAATCAAATGATGGTAGGCTATTTAACATGTCAAACTTATGAAGAGTCAACATTTTGTTTGGGGAGAAAATTGATTCAGAGCTCACACTTCTGATGTAACTGTCAAACCTCTCTGTATAATTGGCTTTAATTATTGTCTTCAGAACTTACCTGTAGATACCTGTGTTAGATAATTTATCTGCTGTGTGAGTTTTTTCTCAACCTCCATCAATATCTTCATGAAGTTGGTGGTATGTGTCTCAACTTGTTTTAATACAGGTTTGTCCTTAGCTAGTTCTTGAAGGGCTTGACCTGTCATAAATACGAAAAGATGATGATCTGGATGTTGGTCGTCAGAAAAATCCACAAGATTTTAATAACATTATATTTTGTACTTACCTGTCCTGAAACTTGAATTCCAGTTCTGGAAATATCCATTTTTAATTTACACAGAATGTACTTTTTTTTATAATATTCCCTCAGTATAGTTTGGACATTTTTTTCACAAGAATAAGATTTATTTTGTTGTGTTCAGCCAACAAATCAAACACAGATATACAGCATACTGCTAGGCATTTCACACTAAGTGTTGACATAAACTGTAGCAACCATGGAGAGATAATTGCCTGTGATCTGCATCAGTTCAGGGTCATAACAACACTACTAACCAGGCTAAAATGCAATATTTGTGTCCAAGCTGTTTCAATGCCATGAATAAAATGCTAATCAAATTAGTCATTGTTCATCACATAGTTCTGAGTGATAATATCAACCACCATTTAAATATAAAATGCTTGTCAGCAAAATATGCATTGTTTAATTTCATGATTGAAGAAGTTGGTATCAGTAAAGACATCATGTATTGTTCAGTGCTTATGAACTAGTACAAAATTAATATTGATTGGAACCTTGACTTATGTCCAAACAATTATCAATATCACAGAGAATTTCAAGAAAAAAGTTCTTGATAAAATTAGATAAAAAATATGGATTTTTTTTTTAATGTAAAAGAAGCTGTAAGGAAAATAGCCCCTTGTCATTTTCAGACAAGATTAATACTGATTTCTCAACAGTACTTCAAAAACCTCATTATCTTTACATAATGTTAGGGTTTATATCTATTGATGGGAAAAAAGCACTCATCAACAGCTATGATGAAATTTATCTTGTGACTCATTCCTAAACAACCCTTTGTTGTCTACTACACAATGTCCAAAAATCCTAAACTTACTCCAAGAAATTCTGAAATCACATGACCCTTTGACACCATATGTGTATCAATTAAGCACTAAGGAGACAAAATGGAGCAGTCACCCATCTAAATACTGACAACACTCGATATTACAAAACTTTGATTCATGGACACAACACTTAAAAGCTAGCTATTGGACTGCGCAGCTGAAATACCCATATATGTGAACCGTCATATTACTTTGTTCACCAAGGTTAACCTGATCATCCTAAATTGCACACACAAATTTTGTTATAGCCAAGTCACCTCGGTAGACGCCTGTGTCCAGTCTTTTTAAGCAATCATTGAATAGCTTCTGCATCCCCTCATCCGGGATGGATAAGTGATTAGTGCCAAACTCTGCATGTTATATTCATTACCTGATACATGTGTAACACAGCCCGTCAAGAGACAAGTAAAGAACGCAGGTTTTCTTCTTGACAATTAGTTTTAATCTTAAGATAACAAGGTCACACAGAGTGGAAAGGTTGATGGTCATGAGAGCTGAGTCTGGCCTGCTGCTTGGTCTCTAAAATCAGACTCCAGGTTTACAAATTGTACTGTACCTTTTATACTTAAGTTTAAATTTGAGATCCTCATCCAGGAATCAAATCCGGATTCCCAGTGTAATACTTTACCTGCTGTACATTTATACCTACTGAGTTAAAGAAACATGTTCCGTCTCTTACAGACAGAGACCTATTTAAGTATATGCAAATCACATTATGAAATGAAAAACAGACAAGTAAGTGGCGGTACCCTACCTGACCTGCTCATATGATATTGCTTTCCTTGTGTACATGTTTTGTTTTGTTTCAGTATCGTATGATAGATGATTCGTGTTATTTTACTTTTAGTAGTATAATAGCTAGAACGTTCGATTCCTGTCAAAATCACATCAACATCGCATTATGACATAGAAATACAAACCGAAGTACTGTGATATTATCATAATTATTTACCTGCACTTTGTATTGCCGTAGCAATATCTTTTTCTATGCTCTCGAGCTGTTGCAAACGCGCCACCGGTCCTTCCGCCATTGTTGCATTGTAGATGGCGCTGTTTCGAGTTTTAACACAACTACTTTCATTTTGCACACAATTTACACAGTGAATGAAAATAACAGAAACGTTCCGAAAATAGCATTTCGGAAACCGAATTCGAACATGCGCAGTTAATTACAGTTTTTCATACGTTGAGCAGACAATCCGTCAAGTGAAATAACTCGGAATTATGTTTCGATCAGTGCGGTACCTGCCATCTTTAATTCAGAAGAGTGCTTTGAGCCACTCCAGGAATGTTGTTGGGTTAGTTTTCATGAATCACTTTTCAGAGTTTAATTCAAGTTAATGGCATTTTCTTCGCTATTCTATTTTGTTACACAACACGAAACTTGGCTGGCAATGACTGCATGGACTTTGACCCCATCAAAACAACTTACCTGTATAGGTAGATGTCAAATCTAAGAGTTACATTATATCTGTTGAAAGATGCATGACATGGAAATAACCACAATGCCTGAGCCTAGCGTGAGATGCTCGTTTTCGGCTCATGATCATTTATAAGTTTATTTGTAAATGACATAGATATTCTCTCCCAATGATTTTGCACCAGAAACTGAAAGCAGTTTGTTATGAAATTTGTTGACCACTTGTAATCATATCATTATGAAACGAAAACAAACACAGCAACTAAAATTTATACTAGTCTCTAGAAAAAAGGGGTGTATTAATTAAAAATTATTTAAATATTTCTATAGTCTGCTGACCCAAAGATTTAGTTGTCAAAATCCTAGCTTTATGTTTATGGTTTCCATTTTTTCTGTATGACATAATGTCATAGATAAGTGCAGTAAGCATTAAATGGGGACATTTTCAATGGATCAGTAAACTAATATAAGGACTGTAGCCCAAACATATTTAATGCGATTACTGTGTATACAATTTGTGTAAGCTGTAAAATGATATAGAGCAGAAGAAGTGATACAAAGTCTCCAGTAATGTGACTTCTTTTATATTACGTTGACAGAGCTGTGAAGCAATCAAATACCAGCTAATTATGAAATATTGTACATTGATCGGGAAAGAAGAAATGATTTAGAATGACTCCTGACATGATTCATTATCACATTGTAGTCATGAACATGATCACTTCATACAAAAAAGAATGGTTAGCTGCATTTTACATGTTATCATAACACTTGATGACAACTTCAATTTTCAACAACAATTATGTATGTTCTATAAAGTATGGCATACATGTGTACATACACACAGTTGTTACATCAAATATGTATACTGTAACTGCCAGTATGAGATTTGAAAATGAATGTATGGTTGAAGACCTATACAACTATACCTTAATTGACATCGCATATATTCTTAACTGACATAGCACATGGTAAACCAGACCACAACAAGAAAAATTAAAACGAAACTGTTAAGGGTGAAATAATGACCTTTAGTTCAAAATGAAGGTTAATTACTATCCAGTCATCTTTCAATTGCTCAGCCGTCTTCTGTAGCAGGACGGCCAGAGATAAGATCCATAGACAAATTTCATAGCTGTCACTGACTATGATTAGGAGGTCACTTAATGACCCCAGCGGGGGTAAGAGAGAGACTCAGTTTCATTTCACATTTATTTGTATCTGAAAATCATTGCCATTAATTATTGTTGCCTGTCCATGTATATTGTCAGTATCATGTTAGGTTAGTCAGTTCCTCTGTAAGCCTTGGAGCGAGGCACACATGTGTACCTTACCTTCATTAATCTAATTCAGCATATAGCACCAAAAAGTGAAGTCTATTATTTTTACTGTGTCTGCGATATGGTATAAGGTAACAGAAACAAAAAAAAAACTATCGTAAGAAAGACTCTTAATTAGCAAGATAAGATTGCAAGGGTAACATTATATCTGTTATGTTTAAAACTTGAAAAAGCCCTGACTGCTTAAACATTTTAGTCACAATGCCTGAAGGAGTCTGATTTCATAAAACTGAACCTAATTTTAGTCAAATATACATATCTAAATGAATAACATTGTAAAGAGTTATTTTGCTAATATCGTTTTGAAGTACATGTGTATGCATGTAAAACACTGGAAAGATGATTACGACACCTTGACCAACACCAAAACATTTCTTGATTTTTAAAACAAAACCTTTTTTGTACTAATACCCTTGCTTTTTTATTAGAGGTCCAGATATATGTTTGCTTTAACTCACAATTTTTTATGAAGACAGTACAAATAAATTAAAGAAAATTGCCATTTCAGACTTGTTGTAAGTTACTTACAACCCTGAAACTAAAATTTGCATGAATAGTTTTTTTGTACTAATGTGTTTCAGACCATGTTCACAATTACAATGGAGGGAAGCCAGACCATCTTCACAAATACAGAAGAGGGAAGCCAGTTCAGGTGCAGAATCATCAGTAAGTATGATCATTCCTAGATCTCTTAGGAAAAGTTGTTCTTTGTTCTTATTGTAGTGCATGCACAAGTAGATATACATATGACTCTGTGTAAGTAATAGCAATACTTTGTATAAAAACACTAACAACTGCAATCTTTCTAAAATGAGACCTGTTGTATTATGTAATGTGGTATGAAGAAATGATAGATCTAATTTTAATTAGATTGTAGCATTTGATCTGTTGTGTATGTACCAATGGTATGTAATATATGTAAAAATAGGGATCTCCAATTGAAGGAATTTTTCATTTGATCAAGTTAAAACAAAAACTTGTTAGACTCTTTTCATAAATAAGATGTGAAATGGAGGCAAGAAAATTTAAACACACATTCAATTATTTTTACAAACATTTCAGAAAATTTTCTTTTCCTTATCAGTTTTAAAAGTCATTAAAAGGCTTTAATATGGAACATTTTTTAAGGAAATGAGTGTGAAGTACTATTTGATTTTATTAACATCTGCTAAATTCAATTTAGCTTATAGGTCATACAATCACCTAGTGAGCTATAGACAAAACAATAAAATTAGTATATTTAGGGAATGTTATGGCAATCATATTAAAATCCATTACAATGTATTTTCTTGATATACTAGGTCATTAGATTGGTAAAAAGTTCCATTAATGTCACAGTAAAAGAACAAGTCTTAGAAATGGATTGGATGTTTGGGGATTCAGATAAATTCATATTGCATAGTACTGCTACACTGTATTAGTCTTCATTGTTCAGAACATATACTAACATATTTTATCATGATGTTCAGGAGATGAACTCATTTGCAATGAACATATTCAGAGGAGACATCAAACCTTCGACAATATTTCCTTTTCCAGAAGGTAAAATAAACAAGTTTACTTTTTATCAACATTTTCCTATCATATCATTGAATTACATGATATTCTAATCCATTCCCTATTTATCCCTAAGTATTATGATGACTTCTAAATTTGTAAAATCGATGAAATTAAACATTTTTATAATGAACATATTTTCCTTGATTAATGGAATATATATTATCACCTTAATGGTAACTTCATAATAGATCAGTTATTTGAATCAATGCTAGCGCTATATAATTCTGCTTTGTATTTGAATTCCTAGAATATGAGGTAGATTCCATATCTTCCTTAAACTGTAATATGATTGAATATCACGGTAGATGTAGAAGACTATCTAGGTCTAATAATACAAGAGAATGTGTGGTAGATTTATTGTAATGTATGGAATTTGTAGATAATTTGTTCTTGTTACAGTGTTAAATGAGGAACAAGAGGAGACACTCAAGATGTTGGTTGATCCATGTGCCAAATTCTTTGAGGTAAAACCTGGTTGCTGTTTAAACATTTTCAGTGTAGATCTATAATCTTCGCAAAAATGAATAAGATTATTTGTGCTATATGTTAGCATACTGTGAGAATGTAGAACAGATCCATCCTATAAATAATTTTGTATTCTATAATTAACAAACACCCATGGTGTGTCCCTGTTAACAGGATATCAATGACCCTGCAGCTAATGACAGTCTGGAGAAGGTGGAGGATAATTCACTGGAGGGACTCAAAGAAATGGGAGCTTTTGGTTTACAGGTCCCGCAAGATCTCAGTAAGTTTTGTGTGTTCAAGTCTTTTTAGATGTATTTGAATATGAAAAAAATAGTCAAGTCATTCCCCAAATAAAAGAATGAAAACAAAAGTTCATATTGCTTTACATAAGCAGTAGCACAGTATGACTGTTTTTTCGGTGCATTTTATTTTTGAAAAATTATAAATTATAGTATAATTGTAATATAATTATAAAAACCAATGGATTGTGACATGAGTTATGAATTATTGATAGATTATTAATATTTTATAGAAGTGTGTATTCAACTAAAACACTTAAAACAACAGCCCTGACAACCGCCACAATGTTTTTCTGTTATCAACCAGAGAATCACAAATAAAGAAATTTTGCCAAAATTATATATTCTTAGATTATACAAAATTTTGTAATTTGATAATAAAACATGTTCTATGGTATGTTATAGGAATCTTTAATGCATACCAAATGGTATAGACTTGAGCTCCATATAGACTGAGGATTAATGTAAGAAATACTATATATAGTGTTCAGTACAGCAGAGAAAGATGGTCACATTCTTACCATCTCATTCTCTATGTATGTCAGTGATAGAACGCTTCACACTGGTCATTTGTCCAATGAAGGTGACTGTGAAGTCATTGAAACATCACACATCAATTTTCTATTGGTTGTGACAAGTAAGAACTTTTTTTTCTCTATTAACATTACCAACCCGAAGAAAATGTCCCGAAGTACACATACAACTGTTCTGTTCCAGAAAGCAATTTATGATAGCTATATAATAATAAAATATTTGGCTAAAATATCTAAATATTTATGTATAAAAGTACACTGTGCAATTTACTGTACACAGCAAAAATTTGGTTAGTCCTCTATTCCATTATACTTGCAGGTGGCCTTGGGCTTACAAACACGCAATATGCAAGACTAGTGGAAATAGTCGGTTCACATGACTTGGGTGTTGGGATCACACTTGGTGCTCATCAGGTATGTCTGGTGTGTTTAATAAAGTTTTAGCAGGGCTAACATACCACTTCCCTCTTGTTCAAAATCATTTTGATATCCCTTTCTGCAATAGAAGAGATTGGAAAAAAACTGGCCTTTTGTTAAATCTACTTTGCAACTGCTTCAGATAGGAGTTTATGAGGTTTTATAGACATAAAAAAAAAAGAATTATATTTTGCAACTGTTTCAGATAGGAGTTTGTGAAGTCTTCATCTGTAGTGAACTAATTAACTAGTCATAGAAATACAAAATAAACTCAAGAAAATTATTGTTCTTTTGGGAAAAATAAATTAAATTTCTTGTCTTCAAACAATTTCTGTTAGAAACAAGTCAGTTTGACACATCACAAAATTAACTTCTGGGTTTAGATATTGTCATGTTCTGCTTATTATCATCTTCTCCCCTGAAAAATGGAACATGATATTAAGTGGGATTCACTGTATATCTTATGCTGAAGATTTGTTTCTGTGGATGCTCTCTGTTTGTTGGAACATAGTTGCCCTTATACGTATTACAAAATAGTTAGATAATTTTTCATTTTTTGAGCGATCAAACTGTTTTGAAAAACAACTAGAAACAGAATGATTTCTGAGATTGTGTGGACTACTATGCTTATCAGATTACATTCAGTATTTTGCATGTGAAATCACTTCACTTTCTTTTGACATTGTTAAGAAGAACCATGGAGATGTTTCCTTTTTTTTTTTTAACAGTCCATTGGATTCAAAGGTATCCTCCTCTATGGTACCCCAGAACAGAAACAGAAATATTTGCCTGATCTTGCAACTGGACAAAAGATGGCAGCCTTTTGTCTGACAGAACCTTCATGTGGATCTGACGCAGCTGTAAGTTAGCTTATGTTTATCAAATCCAGGTTTTATCTTTTGGCACAAAATGTAAACCTCTTTTAATTTAAAGTGCTTCAGTCTTTGAATGGTGGGTGTTTTTTTTTTCTAGTTAAATATTACTCACAACTTAGACTCTGGGTTTGATATTTTAAAACCACTCATAAATTTGAAGTAAATTTGCTTAGAATTAATATTAGAAAAGAAACCAACCTTGAGAGGAAGTAATTTATTTCAGAGTTCCTTCATTGGAAAGATTTATTTGTATCAGTGTAAAAGAAAAGTAGACTGTTACAATGAATATATGTATGAGGATGGATGGTAAACTGTCTAGGAATTTTACTCTATGAAATACTTCTTGATACAATAACCTGACATTAAATGCCATCTTTTGGTTACTTAATGATAGGAGGTGACAAGAGGTTATCAAAGGTGTTGTGTTAGAAAATAGTGTTATCACAGTGCCAGTACAGCAATTATAAGTTTACAAACTTCACTTATGTAAACTAAAGTCATGAAATATATACATGCATCAAATCTATTTTGATTTTCAAAATTGAAAATAATATGCCTCAAGGATTTCAATATATATGTACCCTGTTACATTCAAGATGAAATTGGAGATATACTTACTGTTAAGCTTGTTTTCAAATTAAAGATTAAATCTATTTACTTCAAGTCAATGAAATTTTGTAGAACAAAGACAATAAAATGACTTCAGGAATTTTGGTAATGGTTATTACTTTTGTTTAGGGCATCAAAACACGAGCAATTCTCTCCCCTGATGGAACTCACTACACTTTAAATGGAGGTAAAATCTGGATCAGCAATGGAGGTGTGGCTGATGTATTCACAGTTTTCGCAAAGACACCAATTGTTGATGAAAAAACAGGAAAGGAAAAGGACACATCTGTTGCTTTCATAGTAGAAAGGGGGTTTGGAGGAATTACACAGTAAGTGTTTTTGTTTAGATTCTTTAAAATAATTGTATTAGCCCTTAAGAGGACATGTCACTCCATTTCGCATTTCATTATGTAACAAAGGTTACCTATTGAGATGGACATGTTAAATGATTATCCTGTAATTACTGGGTTAATTGATAATATGACTCCTTTGTCAGTGTAAACATTGTCAGCAGGTAAACTATTTGAGTGCTTGAGGGATACAGGTCTTATAATGATGTGTTCAAATATTAGAAAAGCTTTTGACATTTTACTTTCAGCAAAAGCGGAACAATCTTCTAACAATTGAACCAGTCTCATTAACTTCTAAATAAATTTAGGGGTCTAGTGTTTTGTTTTGATAGCAAAGAATATGAAAGTCAATAACGATTAGTTAAAAGCTCGGAACTGTATATGCAGTGCACATAGATTCAGGATAAAGTGCTTGTATAGTTAACAATGATGTATCATTCATTAAATCATTTAGCTATTATATGAATGATTATTATCCCAGTAAAGTGTTCTATCAAAAATTTCCTTTGGTTGAGTAATTCCCAAAAGTGAATCACATGTTAAAGAAAGCTGGTTTACATTGTTCTCATAGGTACAGCTTTGCTAGAGCATTGAAATGCTACATGTATTTAGTTGGACAACTGATAGTATTTGAGTTATATTCTCATAAATAAAGGAACATTATTAGAGAGCACATGCTGTATTTATTTTCATGATTTAACAGTGGAGCTCCTGAGAAGAAAATGGGAATTAAAGCCTCCAACACAGCAGCTTTGTTTATAGATGACTGCAAGGTGCCTGTGGAAAACATGTTAGGAGGTTAGTATGAGGGAAGGTAATTCTCTGAAATAGGTTTAGAGGTAAATATGTGACACATGGTGAGGTAAATCTCGAAAAACATGTTAGCATGTAAATCTCTGCAGCAATATTTGGTCAATATCTGACAACATATGTGGAGGTAAATCTCTGACAACATATGTGGAGGTAAATCTCTGACAACATCTGTGGAGGTAATTCTCTGACAATATATGTGGAGGTAAATCTCTGATAACATCTGTGGAGGTAAATCTCTGATAACATCTGTGGAAGTAATTCTCTGACAATGTATGTGGAGGTAAATCTCTGACAACATCTGTGGAGGTAATTCTCTGACAATATATGTGGAGGTAAATCTCTGACAACATATGTTGAGGTAAATCTCTTGGTAACATCTGTGGAGGTAAATCTCTGACAACATATGTTAAGGTAAACCTCTTGACAACATCTGTGGAGATAAATCTCTGACAACATCTGTGGAGGAAAATCTCGGACAAGATATGTGGAGGTAAATCTCTGACAACATATGTTAAGGTAAACCTCTTGGTAACATCTGTGGAGGTAAATCTCTGACAACATCTGTGGAGGAAAATCTCGGACAAGATATGTGGAGGTAAATCTCTGACAACATATGTTAAGGTAAACCTCTTGACAACATCTGTGGAGATAAATCTCTGACAACATCTGTGGAGGAAAATCTTGGACAATATATGTGGAGGTAAACCTCTGAAAACCTGTTAGGAGGTAAATCTCTGAAAAACTGTGTGGAGAGGTCAGTCTCTGAAGCCATGTTTGGTGTTAAATCTGAAAAGTATGTGTTATCTAGGATAATTTAGGGGAAAAGTAGGAAGTAAAGTATTAAATGGTACAGGTAATTCTTTTTTCATTTTTCAGGTGTTGGTGATGGGTTCAAGGTCGCCATGAACATCCTGAACAATGGCAGGTTTGGGATGGCTGCTGCCTTGTCTGGTACCATGAAGTACTGTATAAACAAATCTGTAAGTAGTCTATTCCTGATAAAGAAAAGGTACAATGGTTACTAAAAGTAATTACCGGTATTCATGTCTATATAGCTCAAGTCTGTGGTAATTTTTCTTGGTTTTTTTTTTCATTTCTCAGAATTTTAATCTAATATTATAATGTTGTTTATCCAACTGCTGTGTATCAATTGTTGATGTTTTAACTGAAAAAAATTATGGATACTGTTTATTTAGCTATTATCATTTATATCAGATTGAGCATGCCGGACAGCGTGTGCAGTTCAAGACAGAAATTTCCAACTTTGGAGCCATTCAGGAAAAAATCAGTCGGATGGTTATGAAACATTATGTGACAGAGGTAAGATTTAAATTCTTTTGTATTCACAATTCCAATGTATTAAGTATCAGGTGTAACTGATTTTGTGGAATGATAACTTTCTGTGCCTGTTAGATTTTCTATTAATATGAATAGATTTTTAAATACATAGTATTAAAATTCTTGTGTTTTTGATAGGTTGCTGTAGAGATAAATTCAACGCGACAGTGTCAGTGAAAATTTTCCTAATACATGTACTTGACTTCAAACTTTTAAGATCTGTGAAAACATCAAATCTAAATCAATGTCATGTTTGTAGAAGCTATGGTGTATAATTACCTATAATCGTAACACATTATAACATCCAAGTTCTACACTTAGGCAAAACCATCAAACATTGACATTTACTTGGGATCAGAGGCATTCATGTCTTACAGATATTTTATTGTCTTAATGAGCTTCAAATATTTTCTTAAGTAGGAGAAATTAAAAGTGAAATGAAACCAGTGTGAAAAGTATCATAGACCTGTCGCAAGGAAAAGCTTTACTTTAGTACTTTGATAATATGACAAATTGATACTTCTGTCAATATTTAATGCTGTTGCCTTAGGGCTATTCCAGTAAAACATGTACTTGAACTCTGGACACCAAAATAAATCACTTTTGTCTCTGGTTCAGTTTTCTGCCTATTACTTCTAACCAAAGTTTTATAGGTGGTACCCATTTAGAATAAATTCTTGGTATGCAAAAGATGTTTTACTGGAATAGTCCTTTATCAGAGCTAATACTACATGTACTTATTCAATTTTACATTTTCTCTTCAGTCAATGGCATACTTGGTGTCAGCTAACATGGACCAGGGTATCAAAGAATTCCAAATAGAGGCTGCCATCAGCAAAATCTATGCCTCAGTAAGTCATGATTGTTGATACAGCCCCTCCAAGGCTCATTTATATAGTAAAAAAATGGAATGAAAAATACTGTTGAAACAACATGGGAAAGATCTTTGCATATATTTTGTTGGAAAATGGAAACTTTATAGAATACAGACAAGATACATGTGCTTCATTCGATTGATCAGTCTATATTAAGCTAACTTCTTTTGTTGCTGGTAACAGGAGGCAGCCTGGTTCTGTGCTGATGAGGCAATACAAGTCCTAGGAGGAATGGGATACATGAAGGTAAATAGTAGACAGTAACAGTTACCTCCCTTCATATAACATGTGACAAAATGAAATGATAACCTGGATGATGAACGTCTCAATGTATTTTTACGCTGCTTTGTCCATCTGTCTGTTTGTCTGTTCATCATATTTTTGTCTGCAGGACTGAAATTATAAGAGATATCAGCATGAAATTTCATGGGTACATAGATCTCAACAGTGAGATGTAGTGTATCTATCGCTTTTACATGATTAAGGAGTTATTGCCCTTTGTTATTAGAACTGTATCCCTCTTATTGCCTTTTGTTATTTTCTTTATACTGAAATCTTGTCCCATTCAGGGAGCATAACCCGTCTCTGATGGCCCATGTTATCAAAGTTACTTATATTTCTGATCGTGTTACAGTAGGTAGATATTTCTGTCTTATAAAGAAAACAGAATCCTGTCAGAAAAGACGACTGAATGCATGATTTTCATGGTAGATTTCCATAACAGTAATGGAAACATGTGATAAGTTCTGTATCAGACTTTTCATGTGTTTGTATATTGATGCAATCACAGAAATTTGGATTAGTATATAACTGGTATTACAGAAATGTGGATTGGTGGATAATTGTTATTATGGAAATGTGGATTAGTGTACATTTATAAATGTTATGACAGATATGTGGATTGGTGTACACTTGTTTATTGTAATTACAGGAATGTGGATTGGAGCGTGTCATGAGAGATCTGAGAATTTTCCGTATTTTTGAGGGAACCAATGACATTCTTCGTCTTTTTGTTGTCCTTACCGGAATGGAGGTAAAAGATTGATTTGAAATTTTGAATACTTGATTTGATTTTTTGGTGAAATATATGAAATTCTAAGAGAATTTCTGATTACTGGTAGTAATTTCTGTCAACAATTTTCAGATTGACTTCATATTTTGTACACTCAAAAGTGTAATATGGTTAAGAGATTCTAGCTAATTCATTAAGAAGAATGGAATTTTCAGCGATTCATAGTAAAGACAGGAACACTTACTACTCTTTAAAATTCTTATATTTTGTTGGTGTGTCATTTATTTGGTATATCAGTATTAACCCTTTGGAGTATCACTGTATTGTTACTGATATTTCTTTTTCTTTAGTATGCTGGACGTGCTTTGAAATCTGCAGGAAAAATGGGTGTAGCTGCAGACATGTTGAAGAGGTGAGAATGACATTTTTGTCACCAAATTTTAACCCCTCTCCAAAGAAAAGTATTTAATAGCATACAGAAGGAAAAGTTTCCCTAATGAAGAAAATCGCTTATTCTGCATTGATTTCTTCTCTGCATATTTGGGAGATTTACATTTGGAATCAGTTCTCCTCCTAAATTTATAGCAGAATTTAATATCTCCCAAAATGACAGTGATTTGGATTTATTATAAGATTTCAACACTTCAAGAAGCAAAAAGTTACTCTTGGTAAGAAAAGAGGCAACACTTTGACTAGAAACAAACCAATCTAGTACACAGAACTTGTATTACACAGGGATTTAAAATATATTACATACCAGTTAACCACAGCTTTATATGTTGAAGTGATTCTCTCTCCCATATAAATTTTTTGATAAATGATAGATATAAAAGAGGTAAATGTATAAGCAAGGGGATGCAATAGACAATAAGAACCACACAATGGAGCCCATAGCGTCACTAAACACACAAGTATAATTACTACATAGTTCATACCATGTAAATACCATTGAATATGTATCCAGACTGCCGTCAATGATCTGTATAATATATCAAATGTATTTTGTAGTGGAAGCACATCAGGAGTAATTCTTCATCATTGTTGTCATGAGTGTTATGAGTTTTGAGTGAGACATATTGTGGAGCCCATTTTGATGTGTCAGTACTCAAGATAAATCTTTTTTATATTATTATTTATATTATTTTCATAATTTATGATTTTCACATCCTTTTTGATAACAAGATATGGTATGTAATGGAAAAGCCCTTCACTTTTTAGACGCCTTGGAATCTCCTCTGGTGATTCACTGTCAACACAAGTTCATGGAAGCCTTAAGGAATCAGCAGACCAGGTAAGGCTGATAGTAAACACTATCACAAGTTACTAATCAGAGAGTCACAGTAAACCTCTGGTCATTTCGAATAGACAGGTGTTTCAAATATGTGATTTTTCAATGAAAATTTCTGTCTAACAATAGTTTAAACTCTTTCTGGTCTTGTTTCACTTACAATTCAAATTGTTTGTACATATTGTGATGCTGTACGAATAATTGTTGATAAGATGTCGGCACATTAATTGCTTCATGAGGTCACTTTTTACATCAGCGTTAAATGCTGTGGGTAGCAGGCTGTACATAACCATTGGAAGCATGTCACTTAATTAGCATTAATCTAGAATGATCTTTTAACATTTTGTCATGATGCCATGCTTCCATACAACTTCAGCCTCCAACTGTATATTACAAGCAATTGGTATATACAGACCATGTGGTCTGGGGTTGTGTATCATCAGAGAGCAGAAGTGTTTCAATTCACATTTCAATAACATAATCACGTCCAGACTGTCCTCATTTATTATGTTAAATAGATAATTAAGAAACATTAATCCCTCGTCTCAATCTACACTCCCCATAATGATATGTCAACACTAACTTCCATCAATAACAAACAGATATAGGTTTTATTGGGGGAAAAAAATTGGCTATATTTAACATGGTTTCTTCATAGCTAAATCCAACATAATGAAGACCAAAATAAAACCTCTGATTTCTGAACAGTCGATAAACATGTACACTTTTAAACACTTTGTCATGATTATGGACAGTGTATACTTTGATAGTTCAAACTGTTACTTATTTTCACAAACAATTTTGTATGCTATGAACGGGTTCCAACAATATTTATATAATAGGTTTATAGGTTTTAAAAAAAGTCAGTTGTGATGATTTTGAAAATGCAAAATAGATTAGTTGATCCTGTGAAAGATTTGAAAATGTAGAATAAAAAACATTTAATTGTGATAAAGTTAACACTGAATTTTGATATAGATTCAGAAATGTTTCAATTACTATAAATGAGACATAAAGTTTCAGTTTTAGAAATTTCCTGTTTGAATTTCCCTTCCCAAGAGAAAATGACTTGAATTGTATTATATGAGATGGGAGATAGTGATTCACAAAAGCATGTATTTTCAATGGTAAAATGGAAGGAACAACTTCTTCATATAATGAAAATAGGTTTAATATACCATTACTAAAATATTTGTTCTTATTGTTTCCAGGCCTCTAAATCAATCAATGAATTTGGGGCAACAGTAACAAATCTCCTGATTAAACATGGCAAGAAAGTCAAAGGTAAGGTATATTGATATATACTTTTAATTGTCAGCTAAGCCTTTTAGGTTTTATTGGACATGTTTGGGGCATAAAAGGTGTGCATTTGTTTGTTGATTATTGGAGAGTCTTACGTTATTAGAAAAAAAAATTAAGTGGTACTGGATCATAAATGTCATTGGCCAGTTGGTCATCATTTATATGAGTTATTAGCAATGTCCTGAATCATATCTTTCATATTTATGGGGTCTGAAAGGATACATTTGTATTTACATGAAATATGTCATCAGTAGGCTAGCTATTCTCTGCTCGAAGGGATGTTAATAAGTATTAAACTCAAATTTGCCTTGCTGAAATTCTTTCTCTCGTCAGTTTAAAAGATAGTGTAATTGGGAATGTAATTTAAAAAGCCAGTTTAGATTGGATATTACATATGACATTACTGAGGCTTTTTAGGTCATCTGACCCAAAGGATTAGGATGACCTATAGCTATCGTGTTTCGTCTGCTGTCTTCTGTGCATCGTGTAGAGAAGTTGAGCCTATTTAGCCTCTTTCATACTTATTGGTCAGATAAACAGATGACCGTTAAGGCCCATGGGCTTCTGGTTTATCGCTAATGATTGATGGAGGTGTTTAATGAACATGTAAAATGACACTGCTGAACTTTGAACTTGGATTATGATTCGGTTCACATGTTGGTTTTTTCTTGTTGTTTCTGAACCTTATTTACGAAACAATGTAAATCATGAAATGTACTGAATGTATGTAAATTTCACTGTTAAAACTGAGTAATTAACCTTGTGTTCCTTTTCTTACAGACCCTGAACATCAGTTTGTATTGAATCGAGTTGCTGAAGCAGCCATCGATATTTATGGAATGGTTGCTGTTTTGTCAAGAGCATCACGTTCACTTGAACAAAACCATAGCTCTGCCCAACATGAGTTGGTGTTAACCAAACTCTTCTGCGATGAGGTATTTACATTTACTTCAGAGTTAAACACTCTCTATCAAAATCATTTATAATCATGAAAATAACGAGTTAATGAATTGATGTAGGGCTATCCAAAGCTTAAACTCACAAGGTGATAGGGTTTGAATTTCCATGAAATGTCTGACTTTGTGAATAAGACTTGTGTCCATAATTTTTATTACTATCTTAAATATTTCAGGCAACAGAAAGGATTGCTATGAATTTGAGGGATGCCAGTGACAGTAAAGCCTTACAGAGATACACAAGTCTTGCAAGAATCTCAAAAGACGTTGTTTCCAACAATGGAACTCTTCAACAGCACCCTCTGGGTTTCTGAATCCTTATTATACCTTTTCCTACAGTCTACATCACTGATGAGTGCAGTCTATTGTGAACAAATAGGGGATAAGAGTACTATGTAGTTTATGGGTGGGAATCATTGAATCAGTCACATGTGTGTGGTTTACAAATTAACTGTGATAGTGAATTTGATTTTAAAATGTATGTGAGGAATATTTTCAAGATCTTAAAATGACTTTGGAGGATTATCTGTGTTTGCAATTTGTATGCAGTTTTGCATGTAAACTAAACTCGGTGTCAGTATATTTCACATACAAATACATGTGGAGAAACAAGATGAGTTCAAATTTTCAATGATAAATGATTCATTCCGATATGAAGATGCAGTGTTCTGTCAAAGGGTTCAGTAGCATGATACATAGACCCTGTGTCTGCTCTCTAACCAAAGGTTGCAGTATCAATAACATTCTGATAGCAAATTGGAGAAAACAAAATTGTGAGGGCCCAAAATATTTTGATTACTTACACTGTTATGGAAAGTAATAACCCAGATTTAAAAAAAAGAGTTTATGTATGAATGCTATGATGTGTTTACTGACGGTAAATATGTTTGAAGCATCCACTAATTTTCATTGTGTAACTGGTTTTTCAAGGATGTTTCTTAATTTTGTAATATATAAAGTTTTCTTAACACAAAATTTCAATCCTTGGAATGATAAACTTTGGTTACAGAATTTCAAATACAACCAAAGAAAATAAAAATCTTTTCTTCTTAATCAATATTTATTTAATACTGATCCACACTTCAGAAATCATTGACTGTCTAAAGATGGTATTCATTGTAAAGCCTTACAGAAATACACAATGATGGTGAAGCATGCTGTACTGGTATATAGTGCACAGTGTATTTCTTAGTACTGCTTATTTAGAAAGTAGCATATAAGAGTTAGACATGAATTTGCTATGACCTAACTTACTCTGGCAGAAAGTTGGACAATTGAAAGGACTTAAGTGGCTGCAGTTTGAATGTTCATGACAGAATCTTTCGTTGTTAGTGATACATGTCATTTCTTTGTATATAATACTCATCTTTTTACTTAAAAAATAGTCATTTCATATAGAGTTTTCATCGCAGCATGTTCGGTTGTTGAAACACTTTATACCTCAATTAACAAACATATTGCCGATGAAATAGTTATCTCCTATGATAAAATTTTTTCATTTGTTAATACTTGTTTAAAAAGTCTTAACATTTGATTTGCTGTTGGAAAACAATGCCTACAGAAACAGCATAGTTCATTTAATGTAACATTTAATACTTCATGTTTTCACTAGATAAGTAGATTCACTGATATCACTAAGAAAAGGCCTAAAGGTTATATTTCAATCTTAATTAGGAAAATACAGGGGCTGGATAATAGTGTCATTTACCTTTCCTTATTGAATATTGTGTTAAAATGTATTATCAAGTTTGTTGCAGAAATCTCACTAAAGTCCTAATTCTGGTATACATTTTGTATTGACTCAGTTTTGTGGTATGTTTCCTTGTATCTTGATTTACTCCGAGACTGAAATTGTTAGTGTAATACAAGAACAAGTACTTTTTTGATGTGATATAATTTCACATTACACTATTTTGTTAATGAGTTATAAAACTTTTTTTTTTTTTTAATTTTGAATTTGTTGTGACTGAAAATCTGATATCCTGGTCACCTGAATAAATCTACCATCACAGGAATTCTTGTCTATATGTCATTATAAACAGAATCTACTTACAGGAAAATTTAGTATCATTTGATGGTAAAAACATGTTTTCCTTTGCTGAGTGACGGCATATATGCATTACAGCTGATGCAGTTTGTAGTTTTGTTCTTTTATTTTTTGAGCAGTGGGGTGTGTGATTGTTGCGTTCAGGTTTACAAAAAATTAATGTTTTAAAATATGCTGTCTTTTTTGAGAAAAAAAACTCAGTATAAAAATTATATCACAAATAATTGTACTAAAGGGGAGGTTTACAGAAAATAAATTATTGTACACGATGTATTTATCAGAGTATGATTTTTTATGCTCATAGACTTACTGTTGTGTAATTTCAGTGTTTAAGTCTTGTTACCTCGCCAAAGGACCATGTGATGTCTTCTATTTCATATACTGCATCAATTCTCTAATGAAACATAAACAAGAGATTTCGGTGGGGAAAGAGACAACTGAGGAGTTTGTTCATGTTTAATTGACCTTCCTGTGTCTTGATTCACATATACTAACTACTTAGCTAAGAGGTCCTATAGTATGACAATTGGAAATTCAAGAGTTTAATTGTAGCAATGATTTAGAAATGTGTCAATCTTCAATTGGTCTCCATTTATTTTGACTTACATACTACAGCTTATTAAGATTTTTTTAATTGGGAAATTTAATTGAAAAGGTAGGAAATACATAAAACCATTGTTTTCTCAAAGAATTCAGACAGCTAAGGGGAGAAAGTACATGTTTTGTTTTTTTTTTACATTTTTCGTCATGAGAATTAGTTTTATCAATGCGATATTTTAAAAATTATTTTTTCCCCTGTAGCTTATAAAAACCTTGTTTGTTGCAACCTCTTATACTTAAATACTGCTTTTGACCAAAGATGACTTCCATGTATTAATAAAAATTAATGTGCTATGGTCACATCAATTCTTTACATTGATACATGTATAGCTGTGTTGTTGAACCTAACTTAGAATGGAGAATTACAGCATTGGTTTACAATAAAATGAAGGAACCTTTCTGGAATGTTTTGTTGATCACTAGGGAATATTTTATATGATGTAAGATCAAAATCATAGGGACCTCAGAATTTGTTACATCCTCAATATGTGCCTACCTTTTTGTGTTCAGTTAAAGTCTAAGGGTGACCTATTGTGATTCTCTGTTGTCTGGCATCATGTGTTATAAACTTTTAACATTTTGACTTGTTGTGGAAAATTCCTGAAGTGATTTCAATAAAATATTACAAAAAACGTCCACGGCTGAAGACAAAATTATAAATTATATGGTTCCCAACCCAGAGGGGCCTGAAGGGCAGTATCAAAAAGGTCAAATTGATTAAAACTTCAAAACTCTTCTCAAATCCAAGGTATGGTAGCATCTTCATTGATAGAAAGACCTTCAGAGGTTTAATCAAAATTTTAAATATCATGACCCCAGTGTCTCACATTTCCCCCCCTGGGGAAGGGGTAAACTTTACTGTATCTAATATAGGAAAAACCATTTATTAAACATTATTTGTTTATTCTCTATTGGGCAAGACCAAAAGTGGGTCAATTTGACTGAAATTTCAAAAACCTCAATACCCAGATGAGGTTGAGCCAAGTACTCTTCATGGATGGAAGTGTCTTAAAATTCTTTACCAAAATTATAAAATTTCATGACCCCAGAATTTCACATTTCCCTTTGAGGAGGGAGTAAGATTTACTATAGTTTATATTGGAAAATTACATTTTTGAGCATGATTTGTTTATTTTTTATTGGTTCAAACTTGATTAGAATTATTAGTATAAGCTGACAGTTCAATGAGATGCACATATTGACCTCGGTGGACCCCCAGGGCTGAGACAAGGGGCCAAAAATGGGCCAAATGGACTGAAATTTCAAAGATATTCTACTGTTCATGGATGGAAGTTTTTATATAGGAAAATTTTAATTTTTGAGTTTAATTTCTTTTAATTCAAACTTGGTTAAAAGCCTTAGCATGGGACAGCAGTTAATGTTATGCACAGTTTACATTTGCATTGTGTGTACAATGTAGTTTAAAGTTATTTTACATTTTTCAACAAAATCATTTCTATGTTACAAGAAGCATTGTAACCTAGGTGACCATTAAGGCCATTGGGCCTCTTGTTAAGTTTATTGGACACTTTGGGGATTTAGATCAATACTTGGCTAAAGTGACACCATCTATGGTACAGTATACATAAGCCAAAATTTCGTATAGATATGTCCATTCACCCAGACCAATAATTTCTAAGATCCCTGTGATTCCAATAACCATGTTTCACTGACTATTGTATATATATATATAAGTATATGTGTGTGTGTGTGTGTGTGTGTGTGTGTGTTTGTGTGTTTGTGTGTTTGTTTGTTTGTTTGCTTGCTTGCTTGTTTGTTTGTTTGTGTGTATGTTTGTTGATAACTGATTGTGGAACCGGAAGAAACTCATATTTTGTATGTGCCCTAACAATACCACTTTCATCAATAGAAACAATTAATTAAATGCATTTTTCCAATTTTGAATAATTTCTACTGACCATTGATTGTTTAGGATGTGGTATATGCCATTAGAAATTGTCAGAAAGTATATTGGTATAAAGCATATCTGGTGCTAACTTTGTGTGGAAATCCCGTCCTTAATTAGGTTTTAAATGATCTGTCAGAAATTAGTATGATTAATGATAATGAACTTAAGTCCTGTTAAACTGGATGATTTGAGACAATCAACTATCCACTACAATCTGTTATGGTTTTAGTGTTTCAGTGATGGGTAGTTTTATTATAAGAGGTATTTCATCCTTTGTTCTTTACATCATTCAAATCTTGTATGGAGATCGCCAAAGTTTCAAACGATAACAAATCTATGAAAACCTAGTAGGCTTGATTGATAAAGTTGACAGGCTAAATAATCATGACAAGTTGTGGTTTTCTAAAAAGCTTCCTGGTAAGTCAATTCTACAATTTTTTAGCATTCTTGTATGGAAAGTTCTGTTTCAAACCGAAAGTTTCATAACCATAATGTGTAGTGCTGTTTTCCTGAATATTTTAATTTCTGATGTAAATTTTTAAAAGTTTTTTCCCTTTGTGTTCTCAGCATTTTAATCTGGCATGGAAATCTCCTTATTGAAGCTCAGTCTGGTCTTTTGAAATATATTTCTTTCAAAGAATTTTCAAGATGTTTTTACAATGTCAAAAATTTCTACCACATGTAAATCAGTAAGAAATAGTTAAAAACACTGTTTCTTTGGACTCAAAAAATAAGTGTTGCAATGTTACATCAGGTAATACAAACACTGTCAGAAGAATATAATTATAAGAAAACAAAATCTTGGGGATTTATTCTTTAATCAGCATCTGTAGCTTTACAAAACAGTGGAAATATACTGAAGTATGTTGAATAGATATCCCTGTAGTATGAGTGTACATCATGTGATCGTATCCAGCAATATGTGCATGCAGATATAGAAGGGAGGTCTTTGTTACCATTTTTGTGTTATAATACAGGGGCCAATACCCAGTATAACTCAAAGGGCAGTCAAATTACGATAAGTACATCCATCTAGCTATGCTTTGCTATTCAAACAATGCCTGTATATTTATATGGTTGTGCTTTTAGATCTGAACCATTTTCACAATACCATCCGCATAAATAAATAGCCGTAAATGGCTTGGACAGTCCCAGGAATAATCCAGAAAGTATGATTTTTGTTCACATCTACAGTCAAGCAATTACATGAAATGTTCTTGAATTGAAGGCTGTGACAAAGTTTCAACAGTTATGCACCAACCTAGGCAAATTATATAATTGGTGAAGATCAGTTACTGTCAAATGGTTTTTATATCATGATTTCTCAAAACACTTGTGAATGTATTCAGACATATATGTACTGATCCTGAAGGTATAAGATGGAGATCTCTACAGTGTTCATGTTAAGGTCCAAGGTTCCAGTCCAAAACATACCATCACACTTGAATACTTAATTAGATTCAACACAAAGATGACTAAGACAACACAGTTTACTACTGGACGTTGATGGTAACAGAATTTAGGAGCTTGTTTGTTTATGTTGATAAACAAGTTTGTAGGCACATTGAACGTAACATTTCAGTCTAAATCAGGACTGACCTACAAATATTGATACAGGCCTAGAAAGGCTTAGCTGAAGCTCATCAGTAGGCAAATTAAGATAAGTAGATCCACCTTTATTTCATAAATGAACAACTCAAGAACAACCTTGGTCCTACTGGTCAACCAATAAACAACATACAGCCAATGTGTGGAGTTGATGTATCCTGTAGAGTTTTAGTCGTCTGATATTGGTGGAGGACTCATGACATGAGGAGTCTTGTGTAAATTGTCATTGATTTGCCAATTAACTTAAAACTGGTTATGTATTTTGAAATCAATTCTTGAACAATTTTCATGAAATTGTAAACCTGACACAACCAGCAGTAAATGACAAAATTGTAAACCTGACACAGCCAGTAGTAAATGACAAAATTGTAAACTTGACACAAACAGAAGTAAATGACAAACCACATCGAGGAATGATAAAATGATACTTCTATATATCATTAAAAATTCATAAACAAAAATCTGAAATAATATATCAGAGTGAATATCTACAGAACAATGTACATACAGCTTCACTATTGAACTGTGAAAGATACCTTCTATCTAAGCCTCAGTATATCACATAGTAATCACAAGGATTTTGGCTGTTTATACATACAGTACAAGGTATCATCGTAATATACTTCTGTCCAACTATACAAAAATGTACAAAAAATTACAAATTAAATTGTCATACAAAGTCATTTCACTGTGTCCTGAAGAGGAAGATTTGTGTTACAACCATGTCTCTATACTGCATTTAAAATAATTATTTATTAGAGATTCAATAGTTTATACATTTACTTTTATTTGAATCTAACAACCACAGATACATTATATATTAACAATTTAGTCTGAAGATCATTCAATTGCAATATCTATAAGTGTAATAAAATTTGTTGAAAATGAAAAATAGTAATAATTTATGCTTCAACACATACATAAATTTCTATATTGAAGTGTTCATCTATATAATTTTGTTTACAAGGTATATGTACTGTGCTTCAAAGTTCACAATCTTTCTCTATGGATACAAGTTTCAGCTTCATTTAACTTTCTGACAGATATCATTACAACCTTCACTTTGTTCTGTACCTGAAAAAGTACTGCTTTATAGCTAGTATGGGGAACGTGACAAGTATTTGGCATATATAAGGACATTGTATATATTATGTATATGTGGAACAACACATTACTCTCCTTTTTTGTAATATATATATATATATGCCTGGTATATATAATAACAATAATAAACTAGGCATTTTTTATAAAAAAAAAATAAGCATTAAAATCCTAGCTTTTTATTTAAATTGATAGAATTTGAATTTTAAAAGTATAATTTTTTATACACAAAAGAAAATTTACATCAATTATTACATCGGTGCAGAATTACTCTTTTAACACTTATGGTAAAATAAGTTTCGATAACAAGAGCATTTTCTACTTAAGAACACAACACTTTATTACATTATGATAAAGATGTTAAATAGTAAAATGTAGACATATTTGGTTTTACACGAGATGGTCAGAATTAAATGCTCCTTTTGACCTTGACAGCCAATTTCATTGAGAATACTAATGTATATATGATTTCTGTGATTTTGTTTTCGAAAAGTAAACAAACATCTTTGACATTTTGTTCTTAAGATGTTTGAAGACTTTAACATGTTAGACCACTGACCTTTACAGTGGATCAAGGTTATTCATTAGAACAAACTTGGTAGTACTCTATCCCAGTATGCTACAGGCCTAACCCCAGTCACCCTTGGCTTTTAGTTATGTATGTTTTTTTAACATTTAAACACATTTCACCCCTGTGGCCTTGAAAGTGGGTTGAGGTCATTCATTTGAACACATTTAGTAGCCCTTCATCATAGCATACTACACACTCAAAATCAGCATCATTGGCTTTTTGGATATTGAGAAAAAATTGTTTACGAATGGCCCATGACGGACGAAACAATGTCTATAGGTCATTCTGACCCTTCAGGACCCTATAGTATAGCTAAATAATGAATTAAGTTGCAAATTCTTAAGACTACCTTTTCAGATTTCATCAAACAAAATATGATCCGCCTCATCATAGGAAGTTTTCATTAAAAAAAATGCCCAACCCTGACAATCCTTTGCAAGAATGGTATTAAACTACCATTTTTGTTTAAACAAAATATCACAAGTTTTCAGACTACATTTGTTCAAACATGACAAAGCATTCAGGAAGTCCTGTCTTTCAAGAAAACAACCTTTGATTTCCCTTTTATAAGTTGCATCCCACCCATTCAGGACATGTTAACAACTTTACAGTCACAAATAATCAATGGTATGCCAAACCAAGCTTTGCTTAAATTCACCAATGCATTAGGGAAGTTAGGTGTATTAAAATACTAGTTTCTCCTTAATCATCTCAACCCCTCCTACCCCAGGAGTCCTGACTCCAATCAAATTTACATATAACATAACATAATTATCCCTCACAGTATTCAGGTGATGTAGTGTTTTAAATCAAAACAACTAATATTCCCGAAGTCGTTCACAACTTCCTTAACACAAAATATTGCTAATCTTCCTTACAGATGTTTCAGAAATAACTTTGTAGAATTTCTCAAATGTGTTCAGGAATAACTGTTTTTAAAACAGTTGGATCATCTAATTCAATTACTAAATAACAAACATCTCTTCTTTCAGGCTAAATAAAGTTCAACTCATAAACGCCAGTAGTAGTGTTTTAAATCAAAATGTCTTGTTTTCATATAATGGGCTCAGCCCGTCCCTTCTCTAGGGTGTCACCAACATTATTCATACAAAAAAAGTCTTTCTTTCCTTAAAAAGTAAGTTTCAGACTAGATTTGGAATAAGCAATATCGTAACATCTCTCGGATGAAATATACCAAAGGAAGGGTAATTTAATTTGAAATACAGGGCTTGCATAGTATGCTTATGTCTTGCGTAGAAGGTACAACTTGACATTACATGCTTCATTTACTTATTTCCAACATACCTAGGTATATATTACATCAACCGCCCAATTAAAGTACCAAATGAAATAAATACAATACACATGAACAATTCCTCTTTGTAACAAATTTCTGAAAGCTTCAACTCTTTTGATTTTGCATACTTATAGAGTAAATACAATGGAATGAAAACATGTAACAGATCAGGAATCATGAGGCCGATGTTTCTGGCATTTTGGAAATGAGATCCTCTACGATAAATTACGTGTTGTATAAATTGATCAGAACCTTCAACTGATATGTGCATCAAGTTAATACTGACAATTGCTAGTATCTTCCAGGAAATGATCTCATTACGAATATCACACAGGTTTAACACAAGGCAGGTAGCGATGACTTCAGTGATAGTGAACAACATATGATGTTTGTAGTAGTCGTAGAAGTCCTCGTTGTAGTAGCTGAAGTAGGACCACCACGAGTAATAATGAGGATACAAGTTCACTAAATACAATACGAACATTGCATGTCGCAGATTGCCTCTCCGAATCAATGGAATAAGATATTTGATACTCTCGTAAGCCAGAAGTATGAAGATCACTGTGAACAGCCAGATACGCATTGTTTGCCAGGTAGCATTAAAGTAGACATGTTTGTATGTTGTTGGCCCAGGGTCCTCATACTGTCCTGGAAATTACATATAAATATACAGATTTGAGTGAATTTTTAATGAATAAGGTTTTATTCCCCGCTCAGAGTTGTTTCCCTTTGACAAAAATCAAAATTTTACCTTCATCATTTTAAAATCATCACAAAATCTTTGCAAAACCTGCAAGCTCGACCTTTCTGATTTGTGTTGAAAAATCATTTTTTGCCCTGTTTATTAAGTTTGGTAAGATAACAACAAGAAAATGATATGAAATATGTATTAATTGGATAGCACTGCATTAAGCATATGTTGTATGTTACCTCTGAATACAGTATCGAAGCAGGAACATGTGCACTTGTTCTTGTCCACCTTTGGTTTCCCAGGTACCCAGATTTTCAGATGGATAATACCTGATAAAAGGTATCAATATAAAGATAAGTTTCTCTTTTAACTTCAAAATTTCTTCAGTATTTGACAATAAAACAATTCTGTCACAGCAATGACAACATTTGCTCAAACTGATAATGTAAATAAGTAGATGTCATTTAGGATGATGGCTCAAATCTAAAATACTGTGACTTCAGCAAAAAGCTCATGATAATGAAACAGTTTCATGTCAAAACTTGGATCTTTTTTTACTGTATTTAGTGACCTATCTGAAGGTTGTCCAGGTTACAATGTTTGCTACATATAACATCGAGTGCAAGGTGATTTTGTGAGAAAGGATGAATTAGATCATAGGTAGATACAATACTGTATAAGTTGATTTCTGACAGTAACAACATCTTTGAATAATAAATCTAAGGTTACACAAGTTGATCTAAGAATATTTTTCAAAGAAACAATACCTAATATCGCTTTTGCATTGATAATTGCTATCACCTTTATGTACAATGTAATCATAACCCTTTGATATTTGAATTTCAGCAATGCTTTAAAATAAAAATAATTTAATAACAAAATGATTAATGTACCATAATTATCTTTCATAAATACTCATGGCTTGTAATTAGCTAAGCTTATAGCAGGACAAATAGGGTACTTAAACACTATAATGTCAAATGAGTATACATGGCAAGTACCTATGTGGATATATGGAAGTATAGTGATGAAGATGACACCACTGAGGAAGGCAAAGACCTTGTCTTTGTAGTTGGTGACAGAGGAGGAACTGGAATTATGAAGAGTTGTCATCTGTTTCTCCATGTAATTCTGCATCATGTTGCCACCAGGGGCCGATCGTGACTTGTTGAAAAACATATTTATTTCTGAAGAAAACAAGAAATGGTGATTGTTATTAATAGCTGGGATACTGGGACAATAAAACTGAAACAAAAGGTAGAAATTTTATTTTTTTGGCACCAAACATCATCAAAATAATTTAAGCACTCAAAATCTTTAAAGCATGCATTCCTATTCAAACCGGTTACTGGCAAAGTTTGGTTCTCCAATGCTCTACTAATAATCAACATCTTTCTTATTTCATGAGGACAAATTATCCTAATTTATGTCTCAATTATTCTGACCAACTGAAAATTATATGTAACTAACAACTTCATAATTACATGCAATTGTCCAAGATATCATCTTTCTGCTAGAAAGTTCTATTTTTGGTTTCATATTGATAAATAGGCATGCCAAATTGATGGCCTCAGGTGTGGTAGCCTTAATCATTACCAGCTAAATCTTAGGTTTACAGACAAGATATATATATATGACACGATCAATAGCCTCAGGTAGAGTTCAATATATGATTTATGGATCATCATGTTCATAGAACACCTGCGTGCACCTTGAAATAACTTTATTGCCTGCCTGTTTATAGTATAATGTTACATATTTTTAATGTAACATTCAGGTATACATAGCGACGGATTTGTAACTGCTAATAAAGATAGCAAACGACTTTGTCAAGCAAAGCTAGGCTGGACTCCCGTCTTGTCCATGGTACATCACGCAAGTCGCTTATAATCTATTGCTTTGCTTCTTGCTAGTTGAAATACATTTGGATTCGTGTTTACTTCTATAGTTTAATAAATTACCATGTGCAGGACTATCGACACACTTTGTAGCCCATATTTATCAATTAAAACAATTAACAGATAATTATATGCCAGCACCCGTGGTCCAAGGTGTTTGCATCATCGCAAGATGTGATTGCATTGCCAATCAATTATCCACAAATTAAAATAGAAAATACATGCAGTTTTAGAGTACGATGCTTATCTAGGGATTGATTCTACAGTGACCACGTTGCCAGGAAATAGTTTACCTGTATTGTCACTCTTACCTGTTTCCGTACCTGTCCGACCTTCACTCAAACTCTACCTCCAAATTTTATAGCCAATGTCAATTTGACGCTTGAGCGTAGTAAGAAACGGGAAACGCATACTTGGCCCAGACGGAAACACATACATGACCCAGACGAAACTGATAACTAAATTAGAGGCTCGCCAAAGGTGAACGTGGTTTAGACTAGACCAGATATTTCGAAGACTAAATTTGTCATCGTGTTCCAGCCTATTTTCGTGCATTTTCCCTTGCCTGTGAAAATGCATGACATTTTGTGCGTTCAGTGGATTGCACCACGTTGCACCCACAGAAATAGTAGTCCGAATGATTTCTGACTGTCTATCCGCGATTTCTTCACGCCATTGTTTCTGTTTGCCTCTGAGATTGCCGCCCCGAGAACAGCCAGATTATATTTGGATGGTTACCTCACCATCAAACAACATATGGGAGGCCCGTCACATGCCATACAGGACACAACATTAGGGTAAAAATAACTGAGAGGCCGCTGGTCGACCGTTTTATTATTTATCTGTCATTGTTGTTACGCGGTGCCCATCATCATAAGTTTCTCGCCGTGTAAATCCTCTAAAATTGTTGGAGTAAAATTTCTCAAGGACACAACAATGACAAAACTGGTTGGTGCCCTAGTAACTTTCCGAGAAACACAAACCGCAAGTGTTAGAGAACGAAACCACGCACTTCGGATTGCGACCTCAAAAGACGAACGAATTGAAAGTTTCAAAAGTCAAATGTGTCTAATAATTACCATCACAAATAAAACATTCATTTTATAAAAAAGTGTATTTGAAAATACCAATCTCACCTCGATACCTCGATCCGAACCTGCTGGCTCACGTCTCGTTAGAGTTCGGTGCCACCGAACCAAGTAGCCTTCAGATAGATGTTCTTGAGAAAGACGTGCATTCCGGCGTTGACCAATACGTATTTGGATTGTATTTCTGACCCTTTTCTGCATGAACGTGTGTGGTGTAATGGGTTCATAATTGTGAAAAATATCTAATTACATTATTTAAAAAAAAGTCTTACATTTCTGCGTAAACTTTTATTGTCGCCAGTGGCTTCAAATGACCTCAATAAAATTGTCAGGAGCTTAATGAAAATTTCAATGATCATGAGCATTAATTTTCAACAATTTTTTGAGAGTCAATCACTGCAGTTAGTTAAATTAACAATCAAATGTGTTGGTTGGATACTGTTTAATTGTTTCTTGGTGCTTCGAGTACTGAAACTGCTTTTCCGGAACGTAATAGAGGTATTCCTCAGTCGGACAACAGTTTATTGTCCCGTCCCCCTGACGCCACGCGAGTAGTTAGACTAAGCATGCAGTGCATGTGCATTGTATTTTAAACATGTTTTTTTTTCGTTGTTCGTTTTGTATTCCATGCAGTCTTTCATCTCAACATGAGCACGTTATCACAAAACAATCCTGTCTTTTTCTGAATCTCCGTTCCATTCAGATTCAATAAATATATTGATTACTCTGTTTATGATCCATACAGCAGTGGAGGGGCATTAAGCGTTTCCCCTAGTCTGTACACTTGTAGTTATTTACGGCGTACAAAACAAATGTTGTTTCTTTGGAACTGTGCTTTATTAAGTCTTGAAACTAGACGTGCATTCGTCTTGGAAAGTGCTTTACTGTTTGTTATTTGTAGGTCAATGTGATTTTCGAACTGGCAAAACCTCGCGGTCACTTTGTTTGGGGTAAGCATGAAAGTTGGACTAAGTTCTTGTAAGTTTCTCTGGAACTCTGTCTTACCCGATCTCGGCACTCCACATATATGTTTTACTGCCGTTTTCATTTGTATGGGACCGTGACCAGTATTTTCGTCTTGGTTTGGCTTTGCTTTCACGTATATGCCGCGACACAATAATGTATGTTATGTAACAACCAGTCGTGACATTTTTATGTCATTCACTCTCACCAAATTTCACACCATTTAACAATTTGTTTAACTCAATAATTAACTGTAGTTATTTTAGAAATGTGCGATGAATTATCTCGGACAAGCTTGTTCACGTATATGTGTATCTAGCCGCGTCCAGTTGTTGCATCTTCCATCTTCACGTTCTATTCCGGTCCAGTGTGCCATTTTTTATTGGAAGAGATATAAAGTTACAGGTTCTTAACTTACAAATATATATTCTATCTGTTTAATTGAGTCCGGTGAAATGTTTTTATATATTCAAATTGACTCTTAAATATTTTATATATCTGACATAATGATGACTTTTCTTTGTTAATATATAACATGTATAAATTGGTCACACAAAAGTCTTAAAACTAGTATGAAAATAGTTCTTACTCATTTTGTTGTAGCCAAACGTAACATAATCCTGTAATGTATAAAATGATCTTTACTTTATACGCGTTCTCATCATCTTTTAGACCCAGTTAAAGATTGTCACCATTTATATTGATGTCGTTTTTAGCTCCGTTACAAACATTTCGTTATATTTCACCAACTCTCTAGTCATTTAGATAATCATTTAAACTTTTTATGTAGATCTTTATGAATCTGACCCAATAAGCATGTAATGAGTACGCAGTAAAATGACGAAGTAACATCCGACAAAATCATCGATTAATAGTCTTCTAGTTGGTCATTACAAAATAAATACCTGCATATTACCTGTTACCATTTGTATAACAAGGAAATTGATTTATAATGACTCTGTTGTCAGGTCTTTTATGATTTAATAAGAAAGAGGATGTGTGTCAGACCCTGTTACAGTCATGAATACCGGCTCTATATCGTATTGATGGGTTTGATCCATATATGTTTCCTTTGATAGAAAGGTCAGAATGGCTGATCCTACCGGAAAGTTAAAAAAAAATAGGTCAAATTTAAATCCAGCAGAAATATATTTCAATTCGGATAAATTTCACCTAAATCGTATTATCTGGTACAATTTGAATTAAAGTAAATTTATAGCATGAACATTTAGAAATTCAAAACTCTTCAAAAGCACGAAAGAAAAGAAAATGCATTAAGAAGACTTATTGAGTGAAGTATTTCAACTTAGCTAGTTGGTTATTTTCTGATGTAAAAGGTCTGTTATCACAATAAAAAACAGGTTTAAATTTTCATGTTTCATTTTTATGGAAAAACAATCAGAAACTTCGTTATGTATATCCTGATTTAAGATACCTGTAAGGTAACCATCCTTTGAACAGCCCTCGGTAGAGGGTCAGTGCTCAAATAAAGCTTAGTCAGTTAAAATAGTATGGAAGGTGAGAACCGGACCTGTCATTTCCCTGTTATGGCTGCATTCCTGGGCAAGACATTTTCCCTAATTGCTGTAGATAGTATGTGATTGGCCTCCCATATGTTGTTCAGTAAGGTTACCACCAGCTACTTCCAGAAGACCCCACCTTAAATGATCCTGGCTGTTCATGGGTGATAAACCCAATGAACTAACTAGAAATACGATCAACAGAAACGTGTGCTGAATTAGGTATAAAGTGTGTTCTCTAATGACAAGGATCAATGCACGGACAAAGAAAACATTGTATGGTATTTTCTGCTGTAAGTGTTGGTTACTAAACCTCAAAATATTGTCACCAGTGACAAGTATTAAGTAAACTTATCATATGACTACTTTTGTAATACAACACAAATTGTAACACTATGGTTTCTATTATTGGACCAAAGGCTGAAAAAAACTGTTAGTTCTGTTAGAGAAAATAGCAATGAAATTCGAGCCGTTCTACAGATATTGAAGTTCGATAGATTTAACCCTGTCCGTGGATGTGCAAGTTGAATTCAAGGACTGTATCATCGAACGAATGAATATCGCCGTCTTGGATTTTGACTGAAAAGACTTCTTCTTGAAAAGAACTGGAAAAATCGTTTTCGCTATTTCTTGCATGTTTGTGTAGGTTTTCATTGGTTCCTTGTGTTTGATGTTTACTTTTAGTTGCATTTGTGAAAAAACAAAATTGTCTACAAACGAATGCATGTATCTTGCATTTCAACCAATTATCGAACCAGATTTCATATGTAGGTTTTTGTTGATGCATATCAATATCTAGTTTGGAGGCTGATTGGCGAACTGACCTAATCAACTTTTCACGAAATATTCGTGTAGACATTGTAATGAGTGAACCACACCGTGTCCTTCATAGTGTCGGTCCCTAGGTTTGATATTCTAAAGTATTGCATTAAACAGCTAAACTGAAGGAGAGCGAGAGTCGGGAAAAGTAAAGTTGATTAACGCTACTGAACTGGAAAATATCAACACGCCATAGACCCAAAAATAATTTTAAAATCTCAAAGAAATCAAGGAAACGGATATGTACAGTATATTAGCATATCTTACAATGTGTCTGTTTAGATTGTATATATACATGTGTCTGTGTAGATTGTATACATACACGTGTCTGTGTAGATTGTATACATACACGTGTCTGTGTAGATTGTATACATACACGTGTCTGTGTAGATTGTATACATACATGTGTCTGTGTAGATTGTATACATACACGTGTCTGTGTAGATATATACATACACGTGTTTGTGTAGATTGTATACATACATGTGTCTGTGTAGATTGTATACATACACGTGTCTGTGTAGATTGTATACATACACGTGTCTGTGTAGATTGTATACATACACGTGTCTGTGTAGATTGTATACATACACGTGTCTGTGTAGATATATACATACACGTGTCTGTGTAGATATATACATACACGTGTCTGTGTAGATTGTATACATACATGTGTCTGTGTAGATTGTATACATACACGTGTCTGTGTAGATTGTATACATACATGTGTCTGTGTGATGTTGATGTCTGTTTCATTTTTATCATCTAATTGTAAAAGTATGATGGGAGACAAACGTATATTCTTTAGATTTTAATAAAATATATTTAAAGTTCTTTCGGTTAAAAATTAAAAGCGACGTATGTTCAACGGAGAATCGAAAAAACAACATTCTAGATATCGATCAATTGCATCATTTCGATCTATATATGCGTCATTTAATAAAATAAAACTGCGTTTTTTTCGGAT